TTGTAACCTTTTGGCCTTGCATATCCCCTGTAACCTTTTGACCCATATATCTCCTGTAAACTTTTGGCCTTGTGAAGCTGTCACATGCCCACTAAGATTTACTTTCTTTGTGTGTGTGCCATATACAAGTAGGTTGCTCTCCTAATAAACTTCATCCATACCCACACGGTGTGGTCCACTTTCTGCCTACCAGACACTGTGTTCCTGGGTCTTGCTGAGGAATCAGCAACACAGCACTTTTTTGGTTTGGTTTTGTTCTCTTCTTTCTCCTCCCCCTCTTCCTCCTCCCCCACCTCTTCCTCCTCCTCCCCCTCTTCCTCCTCCTCCTTTTCTTCTTCGTCTTTTTCTTCTTCTTCCTCATTCTTTCTCCTCCCTTTCCTCCTCCTCTTCTTCCTCCTCCTCCTTCCTCTTCCTCCTTCTTCTTTCTCTTCATACTAGGGCTTGAACTCAGGATTTGGGCACTGTCCTAAGCTCTTTTTGCTCAAGGTTAGCTCTCTACTACTTTGAGCCACAGCTCCACTTGCCGTTTTCTGGTGGTTCATTGGAGTTGAGAGTCTCATGGTCTTCCCTGCCTGATCTGGCTTTGAACCATGATCTGAGTGGCCTGGATCTAGATTTATCTATACCTGCATAGAGATTTGATCTTTTACCTCCATCACTATTCATAGCATAGTGATTTTTTTCCAGTGATAAAAGTTCGTATTAAAATTCTAGTAGTGGACTAGAGGTGTGGCTTAAATAGTAGAGTATCAGTCATGAGCAAGAAAGCAGGACCAACATGAGGTCTTGAGTTCAAGACCCAGTACCAGCACAACAAAATGAAAATAACCAAAAGAGGTCCTGCTAGTAGTAATTAAGATATTAAACCAATGAATAAAAGTGTTACATTATTTATAATGTTTACTAATATTATGAGTTATTAATAAAACATTAACGGGTTAAATGTTAATATTAAGCAAATATCAAGGAGAGATACTATATTAGTAGTCACAAGAATGTAATAAGGACTCTGAATAAAACTGGCCATTAAATTTTTACATTTATAGAACAGTATTCAAAATATACTGCATTTTAATATGGTATTTGGGTCTTGAAAGAAAAGAACATCATTAAATCATTCCTAACTTATATCTCCTTCCCAGAGTCAGAGATGGTGTCTGATACATAAGATAGTTGTGGTTAAATGAATAATACTTGAGCCAGTGATGTGGATCACACTTGTAATCCTAGCTACTCAGGAGGCTGAGATCTAAAGATCACAGTTTGAATCCAGGTTGGATAAGAAAGTCCAGGAGAATCTGATCTTTAATTAACCATCAAAAAGTTAAAAACAGATATTTGGCTTAAGTGGTAGAATACGAGCCTTGAGTGAAAAACCTAAGGGACAGTGACCAGACCCTGAGTTCAAGGCTCAGGATTGGCACACAAGCACATGTACACATACACAAAGACACACAAGTATTACTTGATTAAAATTTTATTTTAAAATAAAATGATTATTCTCTGGCAGAGAATATCCCAGTCTGTTCTCCTCCTCCTCCACCTCTCTGCCTCTTCCCTCCTCCTCTTCTCGCTCAACTGTCTCTTCTTCCTCTTGTCCTCACTTCTGCCTCTATCCTTTTAGTTATATCTCATATCCTTCACACCAACGCTCTATTCCATCTCCAACTTCTTTACAAGAAAGATAAGCTCCAATGGAAAGAAAAGGAAGGAGAAGCTGAGAAAAGGCCACTACACTAAGGTTCAGGCCACATGTCCCAGGAATAGTATGGGCACGGAGAAGAGGATCGACACACTTTCAAGAAGAATTGCGGCTAGTGAAGGAGAGATGGTTTGTACGGTCACATAGATTGAGAAATCCATCATCTCCTTGGTGAGGAAGTACACGACTCCCAAGGCTAGGTAAGAAGCTCCCTTGAGGAGTGTGCATGTGACTCCTGACAGAGCTCTCTTCTTTCATTATTATTACATCCTCCTTGAAGGGGCAACGGAGTGCAGTGAAGTCCAGTAACCCCAGGGACACTTCCCTTTCCAGGGCCACCTCTGAGACAGAAAGCTCTGCTTTCCTCTCTTCTCATGGCCTATGCTTGAGCATTTATTCTGACATTGTCAAAATTAGGCTTCCCCCCCTGCCATTCTGGGACTTGAACTCAGGCCTGGGCGCTGCCCTGAGCTTTTGTGCTCATGGCTAGCACTCTACCACTTTGGGCCATAGCTCCATTTCTGCCTTTTTGGTAGTTAATTGGAGATTAAAAAAAAAAGTCTCACCAACTTTCCTGCTTGGGCTGGCTTTGAACTCTGATCCTCAGATCTCAGCCTCTTGAGAAGCTAGGATTACAAGTGTGAGACACCAGCATCCGGCTAGAATCCAGGCTTTTTAATCACAGAAAAGTCATCTTCCACAGGTATGGTTGAGGATCAAGACTGTCCCAGGGAAACAATTTTGGCATACCAGGGGCTAATTAAGAGCAATGAGCACTGTCAAAGGAGCTAGCTTCCCCTGCTTGGGGCTTCTCTGAGGTACCGTCTGGTGAGCCCTTTGCTTTGCTATCATTTTGGATTCTTATTGGAAAGAGGAACATGACTATGAAGTAAGCAAGATGAAATTAGTCAAGTAAAGGCAGAAATGAAAACTGATCTGCCTAGCAAAAAAGAAGTAAAGAAAGTGTCAAAATATTTTGCTGATGGTCAGTAAGCTGAGTGAGGTCAGCCTATCTTCAATACCCCGCCCTCATGATATGCACTACAGTCTCTTTTTAGGGATGGCTCCAACGGAGTTCAGAAAATCACAGGCAGAGCACAGCAAGGACAACTAGTTAATGGCCAAGTAGGTTTCATCTTGATTGGATTCAGGAATACTTAGCTAGCTAGTGGGGGAAGCATGATTTCTGGATGTGCCAGGGAGGTATTTTCAGAGGGGACAGGTGTACAAGGTTTTGGACTGAGTGGACTAAGATCAGATTTCAGTGGGGGCCAGCAACATTCAATTGGCTGGGCATATGGATAGAACAAAGAAGGAAAGAAAATCATTTCCTCTCTTTCTCTGGCAATGATGTGTGCCATTCTAAACCTTCTGCTCTTGGACATCAAAACTTCTGACTTGCCTTTGGATTCTAGGACTTCCAGGTTCCCAATTTCTTTGCTTCGAATTTCAAGCGCTTTACTTTCTTATAGCAGTTTGGGTGGGGGAGGTGTAGGTGCACACACATGTGTGCACATGCATGCACAAGTTGGCACTGGAGGGCTGGGAAGGTAGCTTAGTGGTAGAGCGCTTGCCTTGCATGCTCAAGGCCCTGGGTTCGATTCCTCAGCACCACATAAGCAAAAAAGAAAAAACTGGAAGTGGTACTGTGGCTCAGGTGGTAGAGCGCTAGCCTTGAGCTGAAGAGCTGAGGGACAGCGCCCAGGCCCAGAGTTCAGGCCCCACGACCGGACCAAAAAAAAAAAAAAAAAGACCCACAAGTTGGCACTGGAGTTAAACTCAGGGCCTGGGCACTGTCTCTCAGGTTTTTTCCTCAAGGCCACCATTCTACCACTTGACTCACAGCTCCATCTCTAGCTTTTTGGTGCTTAATTGGAGATAAGAATCTCCAATACACTTGGATATGGTAAATTAAACATGACACTAAACATTCACACAGTTAGACCAAAGGAGGATATTCTTAGGAGATGGTCACAAAGGCTCAATAGCTCTGTGCATATGGTCATATAAAATGATGTTTACCAAAATGAACCCCAAGAAATGGAGGGTTTTTGTTATCTTACTTTATGTTCTTTCCCCTCCTTTTCATTGGTTTTTGTATCTGTACCTTTTGTCTTGTATGAAGGTTTCTGTTTGGGGAAGCACAGAAATGGTGGGGCAAAGGGTGAACAAATGCAGCAGTCATGTACACTAGGCACCATGTTTGAAGTGAACTATACTACTTGTGGGGTGGGGGATGGAAAGAAAAACAGAAAAAGTGAGAGAAGAGGTGACACTGTTCAAAAAGAAATGTACTCATTAACTGACTTATGTAACTGTAACCCTTCTGTACATCACCTTTATAACAGCAATGAGAAAGAATATATTGTAAGCAAAATAAAAATGAATGTTTACAACAAACTGGGTTTTGTGCTATATACCCTGCATATAACAAAGAAGTTAAGATGTTCCACTGCAGAAGAAAAATCAACCTGGTTGAAAGAACAGGCATCGTGTTAGCATATGCAGTCAGATGCTTGACTAATTGAAGGTTGAGTAGCTCTTGAAGCACAGCTGTACTTATGAATACAGCGAGGCAGAGGGACCTGAGAATACTGAGGGTTTGATACTCAATCTCCGTCCATCATACCTTAGACCTAAGGTTCACCTGAATTTGCTGATAAGGATGTACATCACCACCAGGACCTGTTGCCAATCAGCTTTCCAAAAATGGCCATACATAGCAAAAGTATAGAAGAAGAGCAAAACTACATACTGGTCCCTCTGCTGAGCACTTAGAAAGCTGATTGGAAGGTGGACAAGGCTGTCCTCTGGGCAGAGACTGACATACCATGATTCTGGTGTCAATATTGGCCTATCCATAGGTTAATATCCTAATTGGTTCCAAGGGGATCACTGAATTTATTCTGTGATCTCTAACCCCCATAGTCTATGTACTTCTTTCTGAAGTAAAGTAGTTCAACGTGGCCTGCTTCCCCCAAGAAACCATCCCTGGTGGCTGAGCATTGTCTGAGCATTGTCAGATCTAATGAGAGAGGGTACTTGTCTTTCCTCCTGGGAACTGGTTCCTTGTTTCTGTAGTGAAGGGGCTGAAGCAGAGATGGGAGAAGTTAGGCTTTCAGCAGAAGGAAATCCTGACAGCTTTCTCTTTTACTCTAATTTTGTTTTCAGCATCTCTCTGTCAATCTCAGCCACCTCTCTTCCTTCCTCTAGAACATGCTAGATTCAGCAGGTTCAGCTGTATCTGTTCTGCCTTCTGGAGCCACTGGCTTCTGGTCATTTGATAATGCTTCTGTTACACACAGGACCCCGCCTTTCTTCCTCCTCTTAGCACAGTTGTAGCTCTGAACAAAAAACATTGCTGCCTGAGGCCAGCTTCTAGCTTTATGCTCTAGCTTATCTTCATTGGCTGCCTGAGTCATGGCTCTGCTGCTCTACTTGATTCTTGGTGAGTATCTTCTTCTGTTGGTGTAGGCCTCAGAGTTGTTTGGAAATTTGATTGGGAGAATTTTCTTCCTAGACAAATTCAGATATTTTTCAAGAATGACTCCCTTTCTCCCCCTCCCACCTTTTTTTTTGTTTTTTGTTTTTTTTTTTTACATCTGGCAATCATTCTAAATCCCCATAGAGCCCACTAATTCACATTAATTTATAATACACTTTGATTGTCAGAATTTTTTCTATTTTTTCTAGTACACTGTCAGATTTATACAGTTTATCCAATTCCCCTTTTTCATAATTTCACTTAGATGGACTATTAATAAGAAGACAAATGAATGGATTTTGGGTAGCAGCCAGTAGAGCAAGGAAATAAAGTAGAATTGATTATTTTACATTGGTCATTTTGTTTGATTTCCTCTGAGAAATGTTTCACATAATGCTTCTCTAATTTTCTCTAGTTTTTTTAATTACCTAGGTTAGTTTTAGAGATTAATTTAGAAAATGGAATTTGGGAGCCACAGAGACCTGGATTTTGTCCTGTTCTCTGATGCCTTAATTGCTTAAATTTTTTAGATGACTATATACTTCTCTCAATCTTATTCTGTAATCTCTGAAGTGGAGATAATATTATGTTCCTTAAAAGTTTTTGAGAGCTGGGAAGGTGGCTCAGTGGTAGAGTGCTTGCCTTGCATGTATGAGGTCCTGGATTCTATTCCTCAGCACCAAATAAGCAGAAAAAGCCAGAAGTGGTGCTGTGGCTCAAGTGGTACAGTACTAGCCTTGAGCTGAAGAGCTGAGGGACAGCGCCCAGGCTCTGGTTAAGGCCCCATGACCAAAAAAAAACTTGTGTTTTTTTTTGTTTTATTTTTTGGGTCTGGTCGTGGGGTCTGAACTCTGGGCCTGGGCACTGTCCCTCAGCTCTTCAGCTCAAGGCTAGTGCTCTACTACTTGAGCTACAGTGCCACTTCCGGCTTTTTTCTTTTTGCTTATGTGGTATGGGGAATCGAACCCAGGGCCTCAGGCATGCAAAGCAAGCGCTCTACCACTGAGCCACCTTCCCAGCCTCCCCCCCAAAAAAGTTTTTGAAAACCTTTTATAAGACAACAAATAGCCTTTTCATAAGATAACTAATATCTGCTAAGCCTGTACCCCAATAAATCGCATCAATTTTTTGTTTTTTGTTGTCTTGATGACCCATTGCTCTCATTCCCCATAGCTAGCCTCTCATCTCTTGGGTGTGTTGTCTCCCATGCAGTCCCATGGCCTTCTTGCGATCCTATTGTCTTCATTAAGTCTTTCTAATACAAGCCACCTGTATTATCCCCCAGCCAAAATGCCACAAGTCATTCACTGCCTCTGTCACTTCTGTACTTGTAGAGGAGGCTTGGTACATTCTCTTTCTTTTTCAGGTACCCGGGTTTTGTGTGGGAGGTTATGCAACAAGTTAATATACTATACTATACTATTGTCTCCAGTTTAAGACAGTCACAGACAGGCATCACTCAGCCTGAAAGTGGCCATATTCTGAAAATTAATGACACAGTGCTAATGAGAAATTATATGGAGATAGTTCCTACCAAAAAAAAAAAAAAGCAATGATTCTAGGGTTAATCACTAAAATAGTTGAATCTGTCTGAAAAGCTCTAGGCTGGAGGGAGGCCCAAAGATAATTTGCTCTTGTCAGGCACCCGTGACTTACGCCTATAATCTTAGCTACTGGGAGGCTGAGATTGAAGATCATGGTTCAAAGCTGAAATTGACAAAGCTGTGAGATCCTTGTTTCCAATTAAGCAGCAAAAGAAAAAAAGCTGAAAAAGTACAGTTTTGGCTCAAGTGGTAGAGCACCATCCTGGAGCCTAAAAGATAAGGGACAAAGCCCAGGTCCAGAGAGTAAGCCCCAGTTCAAACAATAAACAAAAATAAAACAACAACAATGAAAAAATATGCTTGGTCTTTCAGAAGACTATTATAAGAGCGGTAGGCCAGTTATGTAGTTGAAAATACCTTGGCCCCAGGGATTACTTAAGGTTGCAGGGCTCAGGACTGCTTACAGCATAAGGAAAGAGCTTAATGGGCAGATGGGCTGGAGGCTCAGGCTCCTGGGCCAGGAACTATGGTTCAAAACAGTTCCCCAAACCTCCATTCTGGTTTTCATCCTGATCTTTGAAGTCTTATGTAACTCATTTCCAGAACCAAGATGGGTATAGGGTATTTATTCTGCTTCTGTGGCCCAAGAGGTTCAGCCAGGATCCAAAATAGTATATATAGATTTTTTTCAGGCCATGTGGTAGCCTTGTCAAGGGAACAAAGTTCCATACATAGATTCCCATGGGGGAACACCTCAATGTTCCCAAACTGTGCTGGTAACTCTAGAGGCTGGGCAATTCTGCACTTGCCTTTGACGGTCTGCTCTCCCTTCTCCACATGGTACCATTGCCTTCCCCACCACCAGTACAGCTTCTCAGAAGCTTCCAGAACCTTTCCTGTTGAACCAAGAAGCTGCCTTCTAACCCTACCCCACCAAATCAAAGCAGTCTAACTCAATAAATGGAAAATCAAATCTATCAGTGTCTGGGGTTGAGCCACCATTGTATGTAAAAGGAATGGCTGTATTCAGTGTCTTTTGAGCTTGACCATCCCTGAAGTGACCATAGAATTGAACTTGGAGGTGCTCTATCACAAAAAATTGGCAAGGATTAAGACAGAGTTATATTCTTTAAACAAAGCCTGGTTTGGTGACCTTACTCCCTTCCTTTTAAAAAATATATTTTTTAGGGCTGGGAAGTTGGCTCAGTGGTAGAGTGCTTGCCTTGCATGCATGAGGCCTTGGGTTCAATTCCTCAAAGCAGAAAAAAGCCGGAAGTGGTGCTGTGGCTCAAGTGGTAGAGAGCTAGCTTGGAGCTGAAGAGCTGAGGGACAGTACCCAGGCTCAGAGTTCAAGCCCTATGACCAACAACAACAACAACAACTATATATATATATATATATATATATATATATATATATGCATATTATAGTTACATGAGTAAGATAATGAGTACATTTACTATTGAGCATTGTTACCCCTTTCTTTGTTTTTCCCCTACCATCCCTTCTCGCCCCACCTCCCCAACTCCTCCCTACCCCCACAAAGTTGTAAAGTTCGTTTTCAACATAGTGTCTTGTACATCTCATTGCTACAATAGGTCAACCTATATCCTTATTTCAGCATTTGTTATTTCCCTTCTCTTCCCCAAATGAGAAAACAGTATATTCAAGATGTAGGGCACCAGAATCAAATACAATGAAAACAAGGGTTATACCATGAGGGAAGACTATACAAAAGAAACAAAAAAAATCACATAGTACATTAAAAACAACAGCAACAAAGATAAAACCTTTGTGTCCCTATCTTATATGATCATCCTTCCTTTTTTTTTCTCCCCCAGCTATTGGCATCAGACCTGGATTCTTAGGTAAGGCTTATTTATTTGTTTATTTATGGTTGTTGTTCCCAAGAGGATATTTAGAAGACAAGAATAGTACGAAGTTTCCTGGGTCATAAATAGAAACTGTGGTTTGAAACAAGCCCTCAGACCTTCCATTTTGGGTTTCCACCCATCTTATAAGTCTTGTGTAGCTAGATTTCCATCTCTAGAACAAAGATAGGTTTAGAGTGGTTATTCTGCCAGTGGTTATTCTTCCATGGTCCAAGAGGTTCAACCAGCATCCAAAGTAAGATATAACCTTATTTTAGGCACCTTCATGGACCTCTTTTTTAAAATTTTTTTATTGTGAAATACCGTACAGAGGGGTTCCAATTACATGGGCAAGGTAATAAGTACATTTCTTATCTAGCATTGTTGCCTCCTCCTTTGTTTCCCCTTCCCATCCCTTCCCATCTCCGTGTCCCCCTCTCCAACTTCTCTACCCTCCCTGCACTGAGCGATTTTTAATGATTGAATTTAAATTTCTAGCTGTAGTTTCCATTCCTCATATTAGCACCCCATTCCTCACCTAAACATTAAGGAGGAAAAGGAAACAAAAAAGAATAATTCAAACTAAACTCAGCCAGATCAGGATTTTCTCACTCAACCACTATGCTAGGTTGATTCTAAGCTGATGCTGGGGAATTTGTGTGAAGTTGAGACAAGGCAGACAGAAGGAAATATGGCCCTCTGGGGTCATATCGTGTAGCAGGTAATTATGTAGGCTTCTATTAGGCTGTTCATATTCTAATAGGTCACAGACCAACACTAAAGATATGATGCTTCCTAGTACACCAGGAAAACCTGACCTCTCCCAGCTAAGTCTGCCACTGCATGGAGACGTGAAAGATTTATTCCCTCTCCTCTACTGCTTTAAGGTTGTAGTCAACTTGGTAGGATTGTCTCAAGCCACCAAATACAAACTCTTCAAGGGTAGAAATCCTATCTATCCTATCTCATTCATCATGGTTCTCTGAGATTGCAAATAATACCTGGAAAGCAAAATGTGTCAACATTTGTCATCTGATGGATTCTTCTTGGGTTTCTCTACATGGCCTTTTCTGCTCTAACTCTGTGTGTTGGTGGAAAGGAGACAATTTCTGTTGGTTTTTCACCTACCTAGAGTTCTAGTCATGAAGCAGAATGAAGTCACTGATTCCTCAGAACTCATCTGGAGGTTTTTTGTTTGTTTTGTTTTGGCAATATCTGGGGCTCCAACTCTGGGCTAAGCACTGTCCCTGAGCTCTTTTTGCTCAAGGCTAATCTTGTAGGACTTGAGTCACAGTGAAACTTCTGGATTCTTCTGTGATTAATAGGGTATAAGAGTTGTACAGACTGTCCTGACCAGCCTAGCTCGGAACTGCCATTGTCACATATCAGCCTCCTGATTACAGATGTGAGCCAACAGTACCTGGCTTATCTGGAGGTTTTGTGGTGACTCTTTGGCTTTTTAATCCTCTGAGCAAACCACCGGAGCTCTGAAACTATAAAGCTCTGACTCTTCCCTTGTTGATGAGTGTTCTTTGTTATTTCTTCTGAGTTAGAAGAGTGGGTAGGAGAGGGGGGAAGAAGAAGAAAGAAGAAGGAGGAACAGGAAGAGGAGGAGGAGAAGGATGAAGAAGAGAAAGAGGAAAAGCAAGGGAAGGAGGAAGGAGAGAGAGAGAGAGGAGAGAGAAATTGTTCAGCTCAATCTATATATTAACCTCAATGTGGCTAACATGGACAGTGTGTGTGTGTGTGTGTGTGTGTGTGTGTGTGTGTGTGTGTGTGTGTGTGTGTGTGTGTGAAAGAGAGAGAGAGGGAGAGAGAATCATGAAAAGGAAGAAAACAACAGATATCATCCTTACACTTTTGTCCTAGCCTATTGGATCCAATCTGAACAGTATGGCCACAGGGCCATTCATCTCCTCTCTGAGGCCCATTTTTCTTATCTGTGAAATACTGACAGGGATGTGATCCTCTGAATAGCTCCTGATTCTGACAACTAGAAAATCTAAACACTCTTTTGAATTTTCAACCAGCCTCTTCGCTTGAATATTTAACCTGAAAAGGTAAGCAGTCATGTCTTAGCGTCTTGAAGTATAGTTTCTCGGTAGGATATAATTGAGGATATAATAGAATCAGGACTCAGATAGGAAGTCTTGAAGTTCCTCTCCTTTCTTATTCCTCTGAACTCTCCTTTATAGTCCCCCAACTCTCCACACCTTCTGTTAAGGGTTGGAAGGCTCTCAGACTGACTGTCCATCCCTAAGTACCCTTTGCACTCCTCTCAAGCCACCAGCTAACATCCCGTCTCTTTGCAGAATTTCCATCTGGAGTGCGGCTGGTGGGAGGTCCCCACCGCTGTGAAGGGCGGGTGGAGGTGGAATGGAAGGGCCAGTGGGGCACCGTGTGCGATGATGGCTGGGGGATGGAGGAAGTGACTGTGGTGTGCCGGCAGCTGAGCTGTGGAGAAGCCAAGAGAAGTTCCAGCGGTTTCCAATATAAGCCATCAACAGAAATTGTGCCAAGTGTTCTTATCCAGAGCGTGGATTGCAAGGGGACGGAAGATACACTGGCTCAATGTAAGCTGGAAGAAGATGTTTTTGATTGCTCACGTACCGAAGAAGCTGGAGCATCGTGTGAGAGTAAGTACAGCAGACTCAAGGACTATTACCCCACTGTCTGTACCCCACGTGGTCACTCTTGTTCATCTTGATCTCTGCCATGGACTTTCACACCTGGAATCACTGGACCCTAGTCTCTCACATCTCCCACATTCTCAGCTGTGATCTCTGGAGACAATATCCATTCCTAGAATTGTTACTTCTGCTTGGCTGAGTTCATACTTTTCTCTTAGATTCAAGCCATATGCCAATCTTTTTTTTTCTTTCTTATTTACAAAGATGCAATTATATACAGAGCCAACAGCCATGGAACTTGTTGAATGGTATCCTGCACACCATTGGGTAAAGTTATGGGAAAGATATGAGCTTATGAGGCATGATATGTACTTCTGTAATTGTTCAGATTCTCAAGAAGTCTGCCATCTAGTTGGGAAGACAGATGTTGATGGGAACTCAACACAACATAGACAGATGATTGACATTTAGATGGATGGATACATACGTAGACGTACACCCCTTTACTTTCTTATATGTATTTATTCTTTATGTACTAATACTCTCTCCCTGTGTATCCTTTCTCTTCCTTTAGACCATGATTTGGCTGACCATGCTCTCCTTCTTTGTTGCCCCACCAGAGAAACTGTCATCTTTCCCCCTATGCTAAAGTCTCATTCTTGTTTCCTAGAAAGGTGGAGGCTAAGAGCATGAATATGGAATACTTGATTCATGCTAATGTTGAATCAAGAAGGTTTTGATCTTTTATATTAACCTTTATTAAACCAATATGGCCTCTGTCTCCTGAGAAGTAGAATGGGAAAATAATTTGAAATTTTTAAATGCTACAGAATCATCATGATTTGGCCTGGGACTGAGAAATCACATTCACTTTATTGCGTCACAACCATTGTCACAGAAACCATCCATCAGGCAATGATTAGCCCTCTTAACACAAGACTAAACACCAAGAATTGAGCCATAGGTACACTGGGGCCTCTTTTCTGAAAAGACCATGTATGTGCAAGAAAGAAACAGGTATTTCCCCCTTTCTTCTCTCCAACTCCAGAGAGCGTGCGGCTGTCCAGCGGCCGTAGGCGGTGCGAGGGGCGAGTGGAGGTGTGGCACCAGGGACAGTGGAACACAGTGTGCAACACAGGCTGGAACCTCCGGGCTGCGAAGGTGGTGTGCCGGCAGCTGGGATGTGGGAGGGCCCTACTAACCCAAAGACAGTGCAACAAGGCTTCTCGAGGCCAAGGACCCATCTGGACGAGCCAGATAGCATGCTCAGGGCAAGAAGCAGCCCTTCAGGATTGCCATTTGGGGCTTTGGGAAAAGAACAACTGCACCCATGATGAGGATACCTGGGTGGAATGTGAAGGTAATGGAAGGCAATGCCTACACATCCAGAAACTGGGTTCATCCACAGAGGGGGCTAAATGGAATCCCATTCCAACAATACAATCAGACCCATGCATGCCCCACAGTGTAGTGAATTGCATGGATTGTCAATGGAGATAATAGTAGTAATTGTCTTTGGATAAGAAAATGTTCTCAAAACACTATGCATTATATTAATATAAATTGTTGTTCTATTGAATTCTATGTTATAGAGACTGGGCATGCTATTCCATGTATGTTGAGTTTTTTTCCTTTAAAAATTAGAAAGTCACTTATAAATGTTAAATTTATAAAGTTTGATGGGGAAGTAAGAAGATCTTGGTTTAAAGAAGGCATCTGAGGAGGCCCCAGAGAACAACCTGCAGTCACAGAAATGCATGCAGAAGGCTGGGCGCTGGTGGCTCACCTCTGTAATCCTAGCTACTCAGGTGGCTGAGATCTGAGGCTTGAGATTCAAAGCCAGCTGGGGTAGAACAGTCCATGAGACTCCTACCTCCAATTATCTAGCAGAAAGCCAGAGTGAAGATATGGCTCAAGTGGGAAGATGTCTACCTTGAGTGAAAAAGCCAAGCAAGAGTGCAAGGCCCTGAGTTCAAGCCCCAGGACAACTAAACACATGGAATGTTTCAAATGTGCTTATGGGATTTGGTGAAGATGTAGATAATCGTATTGTTCCCCTATCTCCTCTCTAACCTCCAACTTCCTTCTCCACCCTACAGATGGTTTTGAACTGAGGCTAGTAGGAGGAGACAACCACTGCTCCGGGAGACTGGAGGTGCTGCACAAGGGTGTGTGGGGCTCAGTCTGCGATGATGGCTGGGGAGAGAAGGAGGACCAAATGGTTTGCAAGCAACTTGGGTGTGGACAGTCCCTCTCTCCATCCAGCAAAGCCCGAAAAAGCTATGGCCCTGGGGTGGGTCGCATCTGGCTTGATGATGTTCGTTGCTCAGGGGAAGAGCAATCTTTGGAGCAGTGCCAGCACAGGTTTTGGGGGTACCATGACTGCACCCACAAGGAAGATGTGGCAGTGATCTGCTCGGGTGAGTTCTATAGGTGAATTCACAAGGATGGCCTGGAGGGTGGTGGAGGGAGAAAAGTACAGGGCTAGACTAGGGAGATAAAGGAGCTCTACCAGGACTACAGGGCTGCCTGTAGTCGCCACTTGTCCATGAATTCTTCCAGGGATAGGACTGGGGCATTCTTGGGGATCCCAAGAATGGGGTTGTTTTCTTGGGCAGTGGGTATGTGGGAGGAGTACAGGGATATAGCAACAACCACACAGTTATTGACTAGAAGAGAAAATTGGAAAATGATTTGCTCAGCACCTTTATATTAAACATGAAGAGAGAGAAAACACAAAAAACTTTCTAAAATCATCAAAATTGCCTTCAGCATAGTCTCTATTGTGTACCACCACTGTATTTGTTCACTTTTTGTCCCTCCATTTCTGTGGCTCCCCTTCTCCAAAAACAGATAAATAAACAAAGGAGACAAACATTAAATCATAATGAAGAACTAAAACGATCAATCTTTACTCCCAAGCCAGGGTTAGTTCACCTAGATCACCCAGTCTTCACACACTAGGTCTAAACCATGGAAGATGGTTCCACTTTGTTCTATTTGTTGTTACAACCAAGACTTTATTTCCAGTGTGTGTGGAATTACGTCAAGGGATTCTCTGAGACTGTGCAAGAGAACCTTATCAGAGAGAACAGGATACTAGCTCAGAAACACAGGTTTCTTCAGACAAGTGAAAGAAAAGTTCATGTCCCACTTTGGGACAGGAAGTCTAAGTACAGACCTTGAAGGAAAGGCAGATTCAAGAGCCACAGAGCTGGAGCCCAGTTATAGAACTAGGGCTGAAAGCTGGCTGTGCAAATCTCCTAGTTAACTAACTTACTCTGGAACTAGGTAAGAACCCTGGGTGTGATGATTCACACCTGTAATCTCAGCCACTCAGGAGGCAGAAGTTCAGGAGGATCACAAGGATCAAGGCCAACTTGGGCAAATAAACAAAAAAGAAGTTGGTGACTCCTCCTCATCTCCATCAACAAGTTGAGTATGGTAGCATGTGTCAGTAATACCAGCTATGTAGGAGGCTGTAGTTAGAAGGATCACAGTCCAAGGCTGGCTATGGACATAAACAGAAGACTACCTGAAAAATAACTAAAGCAAATAAAGGACTGGGGGTGCTGCCCAAGTGATAGAGCACTTGCCTATCAAGCATGAAGCCTTGAGTTCAAACTTCAGCACTGTCAAACATAAAGAAAAAGAATCGTTCTGTACCAAGGAATGTGGGGAAACAGTTAATGCCCAGAAATGGTTAGATTGAGTGAAAAATACGCCAGGGTTCCAATCCCACTGCTGCTTTTTTGAAGGTGTGTAATCTTAGACACCTGTCATGTTTGCTTCAAAGACCTTTCCACAGGTCTCTATTCATGGCTTCAACCAGCCACAGACTGCAAATACGTAGTTGAAGAAAACTTACATCTGAACTGAATATACACAGACCTCTCTTCCTATCATCATTCCTTTAACAGTACAGTATAACAAGTATTTGCACAGCATTTGCATTTCCGTAGCTATTATAAGTAATCTAGAGAAGATTTTAAAATACACTGGAGGATATGCTCGGCTAAATGCACATTTTTATAACACAGATTTACATAAGGGAAGGAACACCTGTAGATTCTGGTTTCCTTGGGAATCCTGGAACCAATTTTCTGTGGCTACTGGGAAATTACTGTACTGGTCATTGACTCACATTGGAACTAGTTGTATATGACTCTGGGGTATTGCCCCAGATTCTGAAGTGACAGTTTCTTTTTGTCCTGTTCTAGGCCCCAATTTACTTCCTTAACTAGTTTAGCTTGAATGAAATCATTTATTCCAAGTTGATCCTCATCCTTACTTCATTTTCCTCTTCTCTTTACAGAGTAGTACCCTGAATTGTTTTTCCTGCTGCGTGACTTGGCTCTTAATGGCCCTGTGTGTTCCCTGCTGTTCTCCTGGGCCCTGATTACTGGCCATGCTGGGCCTCAGACTTTAGCCACTGCTCCAGAGTCTTAATGCTGTGCTGTGCCTCAATCCCAGAACCAGGCAAGCCCATCACCTCAAGATATGAACTGCAGAATCTGGCCTTTCCCGTCTCTTTCCAATCTACCACAGCCCATAGATGGCCACTGTAACTAGTGGGAGATAGGTGTGTACAATAACATTAAAGGAATAAAACCACAAAAACAATATCTGAGAGAGAAGGCAGGAAGACAATTGATTTGGAACTTGAGGGGAAGCAGTCTTCTTGAACTCTTCTTCTCAAGTTTCAGGTGATCATAATACTACTATGCAATTTCTTGGTGAAAGAGGAATGCTTTTAGTAGCAGAGCAGTGTCCCATAGTACTACCCTGTCATAGTTTTAATCTTAAATGTCTCCCCTAAACTCATATGTTTGAGCAGTGTTCCGAGGGAGAGCTTTTTAGGGATGATTGATCATGAAGCATCTGACCTCATGAATGGATTAATTCATTGGTGGATTCATACCTCAGTGGACTGTTGGGAAATAATGGAAACTTTAGGAGTGGGGCCTCACTGGAGAAAGTAGATAATTAACGGCATGCCCTTGAAGGGTATATTTTGTCCTCTTCCTCTCTCTTCCCTTGTTTCCTGGTAGCCATGAAGTAGACAGCTTTGCTCTATGTACCACCAGCTCCTTTTCATGGTGCTCAGAAATAGAACCAAGTAACCATGCACTGAAACCCTGAAACTGAGCTACAAGGACTCTTTCCTTCTTTAAATTGATTTTCTCAGGTTTGTGACAGCAGTGGAAAGCTAGCACATAGCTAGCCCATAGACCTTCTATTAACACTTAGGGAAGAAAAGACATTTCATCTTCTGGCTTTTTCCAATAAAATATCTTTGTTTACCATCCCTGACAACATGGTTGGAATTCAAAAAAGGAATCTCATAAATGCATTTTACTTCATCTGGTTAAAATATATTATTTCTGAGGCAAGGTCAGGAGAGAGGCAGAGCGGTTGAGTTTCATGCCAAGCAAAGTGTTTTCCTTTTATCAATAGAAACTTTGAAGACTGTAAATCTCAGGTGAGTCAGATTGATACTAAGGAGAGAATTGGAATTTAATTGTAACAATTGGCAATTTTAGATTCTGGGCTAAGTTGATGCTAGTTATACTGTAGATAGATTTATGTTGTCTAATATATAATTTCACAGAATTGCCTCCAACCAAAACAACCCCAACCAGTTTACTTATTTTAAATGAACAAAGTTATAATCTGTCCATCTTTGTCAGGGCTGACTGGATAAGCACAGTTGTTAATGATGTGTAAATTGTCACTGCATTTAAGAAACCAAATATATATGGATTTAAAAACATGAGGACTAGGGTCTGTAATAAAGGCATCACTTCAAGATATTGTTCTTGAATACCTTCGTTCAAGCTGTTCTACAAGGTGCCATTTAAAGTTCATCATCTCTACATTAAAACATAGATCTGTTAAAGACCCCATGAAAATGGGCAGTAGAAGACAAGTCACCCAACAATGACAGTTGGAAAGGCAGTCTTCAACTTTGCTACTTGGTCAACTTCCAGTTCCTCTCAATGGCTTTACTATGTCACTTAAATCAGGTTGCATACAACCTTGCTTAAATCTTTTACAGAGTTTCCTGTTACACATAAGTCAAACATAAACTTAGAAGGATACACACAACTGGGCCCTACTTAGTTTCTCTTTTTTTTTGTTGTTTGTTTGTTGTTATTGTTGTTTTGAGGAACTTGAATTTGAACACAGGGCCTTGCCACTTTACCACTTGAACTATGTCCCAACTCTTTTCTGTTGGAATTACAGACACTCGACACCATGACCAGTTTTGAGATGAACATTTTTTGTACTTTTTTGCCTTGGTTGGCTTAAAACTTCAGTCCTCTCAGTCTTTTGTCTCTCAAGTACCTGAGATTACAGGCATCAACCACCAGGCCTTAATCTCCAACCATTTCATACAAGCAAAGGTTTCTTTATTACATTCTGTCTTACTATGCTTCATAGATACTGTGTATTTTGCACACTCAATGCTTGTAACAACACAGTATTGAGTTTGGGCATCATTTTCCCAATAGCTCATACTTGATTTTTTTCACATTTTTTTTCTTTTTAGCAATACAGCATTCTTTTATAAAGATGCATGATTTTTTTGTTGTTGTTGTTGGTCATGGGGCTTGAACTCTGGGCCTGGGCGCTGTCCCTGCACTCTTCAGCTCAAGACGAGCGCTCTACTGCTTGAGCCACAGCACCACTTCTGGTTTTCTGGTGATGTATTGGAGATAAGAGTCTCACAGACTTTCCTGCCCGGGCTGGCTTTGAAGTATGATCCTCAGATCTCAGCCTCCTGAGCAGCTAGGATTACAGGCGTGAGCCACCGGTGCCCAGCTAAGATGCATGAATTTTTTAAGACACTGTGATATTATACTTAATAAATTACAGTATAATTTATGTATAATTTTAGCATACACTAGGAAGCCAAAACCTTAATATGACTTGCTTTATTGTGTATTTTCTCTATGGCTCTGGTTTGGAACCCATACCAAAGCATGATGTAAGTGCCCATTTTAGCACATGGATGGATTTCTATCCTTTCCTCAGCACAGGAAATTTCCTAGCCTGTGCTGAGTCTCCCACAGGGAATGGGTTTGAAGAAGAGAAACAGTCTGGACATGTTGAGTTTGATATGTATTAAACCTCTGTGCAGACACGTTCATGAAAAGTTTAGAGAGAAAGTCTGGTCTTGGTGATATAATCTAGTAAATTCCACACATGTGTGGAAATCAAAGTGCTTCAGTGATGAGAAAATAATTGATACTGAAAAACAGAGTTGGCCCTAGGGTACCATAACATTTGACTTGGAGCTGCGGAACAAAGACAGATTCTCTATTGGGTGGTTATCAGGGAACTCTTGTGAGCAGGCTGAGATCTGAGGATCGAGATTTGAAGCCAGCTTGAGCAAAACAGTCTGTGAGATTCTTATCTCCAATTAACTACCAAAAAACTGAAAGTAGAGGTGTAGCTCAAGTGGTAAACTGCAGCCTTGAGTGAATAAAACAAGCAAGAATACAAAGCTCTCGGGGCTGGGAAGGTAACTCAGTGGTAGAACGCTTGCCTTGCATGCATGAGGCCCTGGGTTCGATTCCTCAGCACTACACAGGCAAAAAGAAAAAAAGCCAGAAGTGGCGCTGTGGCTCAAGTGGTAGAGTGCTAGCCTTGAGCTGAAGAGCTGAGGGACAGTGCCTAGGCTCAGAGTTCAGGCCCCAAGACCAAAAGAAAAAAAAAGCCCTGATTTCAATCCTTAGTACAAACACACAGATACACAAAAGAAAGAAAAAAGAGAAAGAAAGAAAAAAAGAAAGAAAGAGAGAGAGAGGATAATAAATGTCAAATCTTTTAATTTATGGGAAACCTTACAAAAGACAAATCCAATAAAAATAGCAGAAAAAATAAATGGTTGCACACTCTGTGAGGATTGGGTGGCTAGGAAAGGGTAAACACATAACAAAAACCATGTTGTGATGATAGAAATATTCTTGACTGTGACGGTGACTGCACTTACATTAGTGTGTTTGTCAACCATCATTATATTTGTATACTTACAATGGATTCACTACAGTGAATGGCAACTATACCCAAGAAGCTGATTTATTAAAAAAAAAAAAGCTTTTGAATCTAAGGCGGAAGGGAGATATTTTAATCTGAAGAAGTGGAGAGGGCACTGGAGCAGGACACACGTGAACACAGGAAAAGAGATGTGAAACACACAATGTGTGTGAAAGTTCTTTACACCCTAAGTTTAGAAGGCTTCACCTTCTCAAGAAGGAAAATTTTCTTTGTTCATCCTAAAACTTTAAACTTGACAATTACATACATCTTCCAGTCCAATAAACAAAGTTACGAGCACATCTATCTCTTATTCAGCAATTTCTCCTGGGGCCTTTAACCTAGATCCCAAAATTGCTCTTTTTTCTCTCCAGTTTAAGCATCCTTGATGACACCATACCCTTCTGTCTTTCTCTTAGATGTGAGACCTGGACTCTGATGTCATTACTAGACATCACCTTTTTGTATACCCTAACAACTGAGCTTCCAAACATTTTCTTGCTATTTGTATTCCTAGATACTGAAAGATTGTAGAATTTTTTAAATTAGCATAGTTTATTCTCCTCTAATTCATAATTGAATTATATGCCAGCTCTAGGTGACAAGACTTGTAACCCTAGTGTACTAAAGAGAGCAATGGGAGAGATACAGAAACTGATTTCCTCCCCCTTCCCAAACAATCAATCCTCTCTTATATTAATGGTGTGTGTGTGTGTGTGTGTGTGTGTGTGTGTGTGTGTGTGTGTGTGTCTATATTCCACATGTGAGAGAAAATATAGTATCTGTCTTTTGTAGTTTGGCTTATTTCACTTAACATGACCATCTCCAGTTCCATCTATTTTTCTGCATTTCTGCAAACAACATAATTTCATTTCTCTTTAAGTCTGAATATTACTCCATTGTGTACATATAGCACATAGTCTTTACTCATCTGTTGAGAGCTACATAAGCAGATTTCATAGCTTGGCTATTGTGAATAATACTGCAAATGGATGTGTATTTATTCTACAAGCTGAAGACTTGAACTAAACTATAAAAAGGACTATGGGTCAACACAGGAGAAGTAATAAAGATTAACCACTAGGGGAGCTTATTTTTTCTTCTATTTTGGTAAACTTGTACTGAAAGGTAATTTCCGATCCTGACTTCCTCAAACCTCTGATGAGCTGTCTGAGTTCAATCTGAGGTGGATTATTATTAGCATCATTTACTTTTTGTTGTTGTTGTTGATGAGAGACATCTTCGTTTACCATTCCTGACCTGCTCCTCATGCTGCTGAAGCTCATGTTGTTTATCTGTGGTAAGTGAGACATCTCAGCGTGGGGCCTGGGCGGCTGTCACCTGGGATCCTACTTCTTGGGAAGTCGAGGGGGCTTCTCAGGGTTTAGTTTCTACCTGGTGATTCTCAGCAATGCTCAGATCTCTACTTCCAGCTGAAGGATCAGAATCAGGCAAAATATGGTAGAGAGATACAGAAACAGATACCAGATTTAAAAAAAACAACTATCCCTGTAGTTCTTCCTCTTAGAGGAATTATTCATGGCCTACCTTCCTTGCCAGCACTGATACTATCTTTGTTCTTGATGTGGCCAACAATCACACAAAAAACTTATACAACAAATTGGCCTTTCAGTTCCTTGCTTTTCTTACTGTCAACATTATTTCTTTTTCTCTTTCTCTCTGAGTCCCCATCCCTACCATCACAACTTACAACCTATTGCCTCTTTGTTTTTAGCCTCCCTCCCCACTCTAGTGTATTCTTAGTGTAGTTTTTTATTCACTTTGTTTCCAAAATGTCTTCAGCTCCCTAGGATTTCTTTTCTGGTATCAATCATTATATAGCATATGCTCATTCCTCACCGTGGACAGCTCAGGTGCTGCAATCCATCACCAGCACCAGGCCCCTTCGCATATACTTTCATTTCTCTTCCTACACTGCACTGTCCTGTGAAACACACTTTTCTACATGCTTTACATCTGTGCCTATGCAGCTCAATGGGACCTTAAACACAAAGCACAAACCTGATTTTTATCTCCATTGAAACTTTGAATGTCAGGCGGTCATGAGCCCTATCAGGCAATCTTCCAGCACCTTTACTTTCCTGTTCATATGCTCACGATGGCCACTATTTCATGCCTTCCCCTTTCTTCTCAGACTTATCCCTTTTCACTCAAAATTTATAACCCTGCTTTACATTTCAATCTAGAGACAAAATCAACCACAAGAAAATTGCCTCATATTTCTGCTGCTGTACCTACTAACCCACTCACCTCTGCATTCACACACTCCACCTTCTCCCCACACTGCCCGTGAATGGGTCGTCCCTTATCTGATCAAGAACAGGGCTCTCTACTTGGGCATTGAGTCCAAGACTCTTTTTTTTTTAAATTTTTTATTGTAAAGATACTATACAGAGGGTTACAGTTACATGAGTGAGGTAATGAGTACACTTCCTCTTGAACATTCCAAGACTCTTTTTAATTTAGGGCCTTGTGCTCTTGCATGATTTTTTTTGCTCAAGGATAATACTCTACTGCTTAGGCCACAACTCCACTTTTGGCTTTTTGGTGATTAATTGGAGGTAAGAGTCTCACAGACTCTTACAGGATCAAGGTTTGATCTTCAGATGTCAGCCTCCTGAGTAACTATGATTACAGATGTAAGCCACTAGCTCCTGGCCTCCTTTTAAATCACTTAAAATGTTTTTTCCCCAACATTAAAATATTCCCCAGTTTTAGATTATTCCTACAAATACACAAACACGTTATATCTTTTATCTGAAAAGAAACACGACTTCATGGTGCCCTCCACTCACACCATCTTTATTATTAAGATAATAATGAAACAATATTTATTGGATGCTAAGTACATTTTAGGCATGATTCTAAGTGCTTTATAGGTATCAATTGATTAATTGATTGATTGATTTTGTCAGTTCTGGAGCCTGAACTCTGGGCCTGGGCACTGTCCCTCAGCTCTTCAACTCAAGGCTAGTGCTCTACCACTTGAGCCACAGTGCCACTTCCAGCTTTTTCTGCTCAAAGTGGTGCTGAGGAATCAAACATAGGGCCTCATGCATGCAAGGCAACCACTGAGCCACCTTCCCAGCCCATTTTCTTTTTCTTAATATATATTTTTTATTGTAAAGATACTGTACAGAGGGGTTACAGTTACATGAGCAAGGTAATAAGTCCATTTCCTATCAAGCATTGTTACACCTCCTTTGTTTTCCCCCTATCATCCCTTCCCTCCTCACCTCCTCTTGATTCATTTAATCCTCACAAAACTTTGAAAAGTGTTCACTGATGAGTTACTACTATCTCTATTTCATAGAAGAGGAAACTAAGCACAGAGAAAAGACATTGTTTCCTCTTGTAGGAAGAAGAGTGAAGATCAAGATCTCCTTCATATAGATACATTTCATATAGACAGCCTTCATTTCTCTAGAATTTTCCCTTTTTGACTATACTACAATACTACTGTAGATTCTTGGGATAGGAGAGAATCTTTAGCTATACCTGTATTCATTCTTTGGATTCAAGCCTTCTCTGATCTAAAGATGATCATGAGCCTTATCTACCTTGCCTGGCTTTATTGTTATCACAAGGCACTGAATCCAGAGTTGGGTCATCAAGGCTTGTGAGAGATGAGATGGGACTAGCACTAGGGTGTGAAAGAGATCGCTGCTAAGAACAGAAAAACTCCATTTCCTAGTCACAGATGGCAAAAGCTATTGGAAATTCCCTTGTGATCATAAAAAAGAACCAAGTGCGTTGTGGACAGGTGTTCTGTGGATGCTGTGGAATGTAGGGAAAGGAACAGAGAGAATGAAGGAAGGAAGGTAGGAGGGCAGGATGATGGAAGAAGAGAGAGGAAGACGGGAGGGAGAGAGAGTGATGGGGAGGAAGGTAGAGATATGGAGAGGGCATGAGGGAAGGACGGTATAGTGTTGGAAGACCTCTTTAAGGAGTTAAACTCTGGGGGCCTGTGGGACTTTGGGTGCTCTGAACTGATCTGTACCATACTCTCTTCCAGCTCCATTCGGTGAACCTGCTGGTGAGTTGCACTTTCTTGTCTTTGCCATAGTTTGTAGGTACCGTGTCACTTGGGTCAGCACAGGAGGCCTATTGAGGACTGAGTAGCCTTTGCCTGTCCAAGACACATCTGGTGGTAGGTGTTAAATTGTACATACATCAGTGATTCCCCTGGGCTCTGGACTGCTCTCCCTGCGTCTTCTTAGCTGGGTGTCCATGGCTTCTCTACCTACTCCAGAATACTCTTATTTCTGGGAAGCCTCAGCCAGCCTAGGGAGGGAAATGTCATTTGTGCCCAGAAGGCAGGGTTGCCAAAGTCCCCCACGTTCTCCTGAGCTGCATGCTCCAGCAAAGGTGACAGAGGAATGCTCCAGCCGGGGAGCTCCCCACTGCTGCAGATACTCGTGCACCTGTGAAGTGAAGCAGTACTGTTGACTCTGGTTTATTTTAGCTCCACATTGCAGCCACAGCTGTGACCTTAGCACGTCTTCCTCCTCACAATCTTGTGTATGCAAATCTGCTTCATTATTTTGGTTCTGGTTTCGTCTTACTTTTTCCAGAGGAGGACAATGGAAAACTCTAGCACCACACCATGAGGAATCAGTCTCTCACGAAGGCATATTCAAACCTCACATATATGAATGTCTTTCTTGTAAATGAAATATGAAGCCCTGGTTTGAAAGAGGTTGATCTGCCTTCTTCTCCCCTCATGAACACAGGAATTCTCATGACTAGGCCCAAATTAACCTAGCCTTCTGCGTTTCTCATGATGCTTGTGTGGGTAGAACTCATGCCTGTGATGATACTATGAACACCTTCAGTTTGGTATCTCTTTTGCTCCTAAGCCCAGTGCCCAATCCTAGCTCAAACAGAAACCCAAAGCCACATCAAACATGAGGAAACAGTTTCTCCAGGTATTTTCTAGGTAATCTCTGCTGCTGGAGAATTACCTCAAACAAGCTCAGAACTGTAAAGGCAGAGTGCCAGACGCTTCTACTCAGTCCTGTCTGGCTTTTCACTTAATCCACTCTACTATCCGATTCATCAGAAGAATGGTTTTCATGCCATTAGTATTCTTTTTTCCACTAAATTCCAAAAGTTCTCCTGTGTATCAGTTCCCTGGGAACCACAAATGTCAAAGGACATAAAACACAGAGCATTCCATATCCTGCAACAGTGATAGAAATGATGTTTAAAAGGATGCAGGGGAAAATCCTTGGAGATAACAGACACTGACTTAGGAATCATTGTTTCCTCCCCCCCATTCTCTAGCACCAGAGTATATGGTATTTTCATCTGGTGAGGGGAGTGAGAGGGGTTTCTTTTATTCATATCTCCCAATATCTCTCATATCTCAAATGTCAGAGGCTCTGGGGGTTAGATAAACCAAAGGCTATAGAGCCAATGCTGTCTGAGTTTGTGACCTTTCATGGATTGTTAAGCAGGTCTAGGAAAGAGCCTTTAAGACACAAAGGGATATGTCCCCAAGGCTTAAGGTATGGGTTAAATTTGTTTCTCATACAGAGCCCCTACAGAGCTCTGTTAGAAGTTGGACCAAGGGAACTAGTGTGGATGGCAAGCACAGGGAATTTCTAGGCAGATTCATTCCCCCTCTCTCAACAGGAATGGCAATAGTAGAGGCAGAACAGTCAGCAAAGAGTGAGCAATGAGTTCCTCACTGTCATCACTCACTGTATGGTCCTTCTTGTCTTTGGAAAAGATCATGGGTCTGAGAAATCAGGGGGAAAAGAACAGAAGAAAATAACCAATATAGCTTACAACAAATGAAAGAAATGAGGCTGGGGGTCTCTCGGTGATAGAACATTTGCCTAGCATGTGTGAGACCTTGGGCTCCACCCCCAGTCACCCCTCCCCAGAAACTGAAAGGAAAGATAGATGAAAGACATACTCACTTTTCCTAGAACTTCAGCCTTCACCATCTCCAGTAAGTGTTCATCTCCGCCCCCCCCCCACAACACACTTGCTTCAACAAAAGGTTTTTCAACTCATGAATAGAAACTTAAAATAGAATAGGATCCAAATCACACACGAGGGCTGCCTTCATAAAGTAGTGCTGCAGAGGAGCACGAAGTACTTGCATGTCCTGAGTGGCCTCGTGGCAAAGCGAAGCCCCTGGGCCACCTGGGGAATGAGAGGGTGGTTCTCTGTGTCCAGCTGACTGACAACCCAAGCCGATGCGCCTCTCGTCTGCAACTTTGAGTCTCATCAACCTGAACTTTGTCTTTAACTTTTCTCTCAAGAGTTTTCACATCCTGTGCTGAAAGCTAACCCCCCCAGGCCTGTTGAGGGGAGTTCAGTGACCCTGATCTGCGAGATTCGTCTCCCTCTTTGGGAATCACACAAGCAACTTGAGTTCTGTTTCTTCAAAAATTACCAACCCCTGGGGTCAAGCTGCAGCAGCTCACCAGAGCTTTGGATTCCCACCATGTGGAAGGAAGACACAGGGTTCTATTGGTGTGAAGCAAAAGTAGGGGTGCTCAGAAACCCCAGAAGGAGCTTGATGTTCCAGATACGTGTGCAGAGTGAGTGTGTGTTGCTCTTCCAGGGTCAGGCTGGGGAGGGAAGGGCAGAATGTGGCATTATTACCTCCCTTCCCCAGGATGGTGGGCTTCTATCTCTGCTGGTGTCTTTCTCTCTTTATGCCCAGCATGGCAAGATAGCAAGAACATGCTTTGTGGAAGAAGTGAGTAGAGTAGGCAGTTGAGAAGGGCTGGTGGAAAGGGCTTGATTGAGAAAGATAGAACACAAAGAGGGTGTTTTATCCTTCTGAACTATATTCTTATATATCACAGTTGGTCACGCTAGCACCTTTCTCCATATAGACCCCGGGTCTGATGCACACAGAGGTCTGGGTACTTGCTAAAAACTCATCATTGATGAAACAGACCTCTCCCACCCTTTCTTTTTCTCACCACTACAAAAATTTTAACCCAGCTCCTACACAAAGGGAATAGCAGGCATGATTTAAATGCTTCATAAAGGGGGAGAATCTAGACAAGAATCCATGTACATCCTACACAATTCAACACTTCACATATGTGGTTTAATGGAAACTCCTAACTACAGGAGATAACCAAGACTCTATCTACTTACAGATGAGAAACTGCATCTCAGAGAAGTTAAGTAATTTGATCCAGGATACAGAGTTATTTTCACCTTCAAGCGCTTTAATTTATGATTTGCACTTGTAATCACCATACTACTATGCTTTGAAAAGGAACAAGTTTGAGGATCAGAGTAATAGGAGAGACATTGTCCTAAGAAGGCAGATGATTTCACATTCCTGTGGTATTATTATGGTGTCTTTTTTTTGTTTTTAATCATCAACTCATTAGACTGATTCCAAATTCTCCCAAGTGAAGCTATATAAATCATTGACTTTGCCCACATCTTTTGCTTCCAGAACTCTCGTAACTAATTTTTACTATCAAAAAGTCCTTCCCCAGGGACCCCAGCATTTATCTTGTGTTTCTGCAGGAGTTCCCGTCTCTGATGTGAGCTTGGAAACTCAGCCCCCAGGGGGCTGGGTGACTGAGGGAGACAAGCTGGTCCTCATCTGCTTGGTCGCTAATGGCACCGGAGACATCACCTTCTTCTGGTACAGAGGGGCTCTGGGTGTAACCCTGGAAACAAAGACCCAGCGCTCACAGACAGCACAGTATGAGATCCTCACTGTGAGGGAGAGTGATGCTGAGCTGTATTTCTGTGCAGCAGACAATGGCTATGGCCCCAGTCTCAGTGGGCTGGTGCCCATCAGGGTCAAAAGTAAGTGGTGCTTTGTTTGGGCCAGCATGCCTCACACTGGTCTCCACCTGCCCCCAGGCTACCTTGAGGAAATCCAGTGGGGTTGGTTGACTCAGAATAGGCTGGGATTATGGTTTAATCTATTGCAATATTGGAGACCCATTCTTGACACTCCAACGTTTCTTTCAGTCCCAGTATCCCGCCCTATCCTTATCCCCAGCATCCCTGAAGGCCAGGCCATGGTGGGGGATATGGTGGAGCTTCATTGTGAAGCCCTGCGAGGCTCTCCTCCGATCCTGTACCATTTTTATCATGAAGATGTTGTTGTGTGGAGCAGCTTGGTCCAGTCTGGGGGAGGAGCATCCTTCAACTTCTCCCTGAGTGCAGAACATTCTGGAAAATATTCCTGTGAGGCTGGCAATGGCCCCGGTGCCCAGCGCAGTGAGGTGGTGACTCTCAACATCACAGGTATAGCTGAGCACCTTCTGGCTCAGTGTCTCATTGCATCCTGAGAGAGGCTAAGTACTTCCAGTGGTGTGCTATCAAAGACAGGGCTTTCTGTTGGGGTGCGGTCACCAGATGATGTGTCTGAGGGGCAGGGAGGACACGGTTGGGTGCTCTCTTCTTTCAAGAGCAGAAGATTCCCTAGATAAATATTACCTCCAGAAAAGGGAAGTTTTTTGTTTTTGTTTTTGTTAGTCATGGGGCTTGAACTCTGGGCCTAGGCACTGTCCCTCAGCTCTTCAGCTCAAGGTGAGCACTCTACCACTTGAGCCACATCGTCACATCTGGTTTTCTAGTGGTTTATTGGAGATAATAGTCTCACAGACTTTCCTGTCTGGGCTGGCTTTGAACCTTGATCCTCAGATCTCAGCCTCCTGAGTAGCTAGGATTACAGGCGTGAGCCACCGGCGCCCAGCTTGAGAAGGGAAGTTTTTAAGTCTGGCCTACGCCCAAGATGTCTGTTCTCCAAACCCCAATCTCTTCTGCACAGTAGTTCACATGCAGGTCTCTTTCCTCAGTGCCTGTGGAGGGCAGAATGGATCACTTCCCTTCAGGAGTCATCGAGGGGATGCTCGGCAGCCTTGGGCCCATCACTGTGGCCCTATTATTTTGCTACTGTCTCAAGAGAAAAATAGGTTAGTAGTTACAGAACTTGGTACATTGCTACTATGATCTGTGTTGTTCACTGCAATAGGCTGTGACACATAGACTGTGAAGCATAAATATATGTCTTTAGCGACCTCACTTGCCAATCCGTGCTCAGTCCCCTGCAGCCTACTAATGAACTTCATGAACTTTTGACAAAGCTCTTTATCAGCAGAGGCTCCTGATACCTTGCTCTTCTGTGATTTAGTTTTATATAAAAATATAGCACTTAAAATAATCATCCACCAGAAGTTTAATGCATGGGGCCTCTTCCACCTTCGGGAATGGAAGCACACCTCCTGCGCCCATAGGTTCTCATCGTTGCTGGATCACTCTTACTTTTCAGCTAAAAATGTCAACTTCTCAAGGAGGTTTCACCTACAATGGGTTTCTTCTCTTATGAATCCTAGCTTCTTTAGTTTCCCAATCCCTGAAGTACATAATCATTCATAGATTTAACATTGATCTGTTCACTGAGCAAGTTAAAGATGGGGCAAGAGAAGATACCAAAAAGCTATCATTTAGGTGACAAACTTTTCTAACACTCCATCTATGCATAGCTGGCCTGTGGCAGGCTCTGAGAATTTTGGTAGCTTTTCAGTATTGGGTGGTCTGGTTACAAAACTTAAAACCTACAATAGGCATGGAGGTTCAGAGACTTGGGTTCAGACTTTCCCTCTGCTCTGATACTGGCTTTAGGAATCTGATGTAACTGCTTTTGAACCAGAATCACCTTGTTTATGAAATGCAGGCCCAGTACACAATATCAGGATGTCCTCTGGACACCACAGTGGGCACCACAGAGGGTGGGCATGGAAACGGAGGAAAGGGAGTTCCTCTGCTGACATGTACACCCATTTGTTTGCCTTCCAGGAAGACGCTCAGGGGATCCAGTCAGGTAAGGCCCCTGCTTCCTCTCTAAGTATTGATAATGTTGAAAACAAATCTTAAAAAAAATTCAAATTGCCCTCTCTCATGAGCTTTCCCTGTCATCTCCTTACTAAAACTCACTCATGAGTTTTCTCACTGGCAACATTGAACCTCAGCGGATCAAGAACTTGGCGAAAAGTTCTTCATGAAGTTTTTCAGTGGGCTCTTCTTTTTAGACTTCATATTGTAACTAATTAATTTAGATCATTCCATTGTTTTTCCTGTCCATCCCCTTCAACACATTTGCAGAAGAAGGTTACATGGCTTTGATCAAGATCCTTCATTCACTTACTCATTCATTCAAGCAATCAGCCAATATTGTAGGTCATTCTGTCAACTTCTGAGAGATGTGAATCTATGAAAGACCTTGAGAGTCTTAAAGTGTTTTAGAGGAGGTAAGGCACACACACATCTCTGATATGCACGTCAGAGAGTTACAAACATACTGAAAAAAAACCACTGCTGCAATTCTCTAGACTTTTAGAGGAGGAAAACATTTCCAAAATACTTCCATCTGTAAGTTATTTTTTATATCAACAGTAAACTTTATTTTTTCCAAACCAGAGTAGCACTGTGGTGGCCCAGTATGTCTGACCATTTTCTTCTGACCTTTCCTGAAGTTGTTTGTTCCGATTAGCCACCTGTTTCTCTATATTTTTTTCCTCTATATTTTACTGAGCCTGTCTGATGTGAATGGCCCCGTTCTGGATTTGGACAATAGCATTGTGAAACTGCAGGCCAAGGCCTTACACTTTGGCTTATATACATTAGGACAACTTTTCAGTGCTCCACTCAGCCCATGTGCCGCTGTGCTTCCAGCTGCTAATTTTTTCATGGATTAGCATTCTGCCCAGGACCCTTTTGAACATGTCTTTCACTATCTAATATATATATATATATATATATATATATATATATATCTCATATAGTTATATCTGATATAGTTATATCCCAGATTGATAGAATTCCTTCCTTCCCCTCTCCTTCCCTCCCTCCTTCCTTCCCTCTTTCCTTTTTCCCTTCCTCTCTTCCCCTTTCTTCCTCTCTTTTTCTCCTCCCCTCCCACCTTCCCTCCCTACCCCACCTCTTTCTTTTGCCAGCACCAGGGTTTAGACTCATACTGACTCAGTTAGTGTGCTCACAGCTGGCACTCTACCACTTGAACCACACCTCTAGTTTGACACTTTGCTGGTTAATTGAAGAGAGAGTCTCAAGGTCTTTACTACTCATGCTAGTTTTGAAATTCCATCCGTCAGACCTCAACCTCTTGAGTAGCTAAAATTTCCGATGTGGGTCTTGGTACCTAGCTAATAGCCCATATTTCTCTGTTTGCAGGAGTCCTTCCAGCCCAGTACCCCAAGAAGCCAGCTACAACTCACCTGCTTCAAGGCAGCTAGAGCCTATATATGAAAATGGTGAGGTTCCACAAGTGACCTGGGCCAAGTGGGGACAGCAAGCTGGAGACAGGGCCACTCGACTCACCAAACTTCATTCTACATGCCTCATTCTCCTCTGCACATAAATGACTTATCTGCCTTCATGGCTGTGTTAGGTGGTGTCATGGGGTAAGCTAAATGACAGGAAGAAGGGCTTGTATCATGATATGACCTTTCTTCTCTTTCAGTGAACATTGTGAGTGGGGATGAGGTCTATTCATTGGTGGACCAAATCCAGCAGAAACGGGAACCAGCAACAGGTGAGATATGGTGTGTGTGTGTGTGTGTGTGTGTGTGTGAATTTTCCTTTTGTCTTTCCTGAAACCTAGGGGACAGTCAATGGCTGTGGGCAACCATGCTCAGCGTCAGCCTCTGTCCCTGGTGCTGACTGGGTCTACTTGAAGCCAAGCCTTTGTTCTGGAGTCCTCCTCAAGGAGATCACAGTGCTCATGCTAATCTGGCCTGCTCCATGCCTCATGCAGCCTGCTACACATAGCAGCCTCAGAGAGGGCAGTGTCAGCCTGCCTTCTCTGAAGAGTCCAATCCACCCCATTGTGGCTGCCTGGTTACCGCTGATGTTAGCAGGCCCTGAAAAGCTGAGATGCAGAAAAGCATCTCCTTTCTTTCTTTCTTTCTTTCTTTCTTTCTTTCTTTCTTTCTTTCTTTCTTTCTTTCTTTCTTTCTTTCTTTCTTTCTTTCTTTCTTTCTCTTTCTTTCTTTCTCTTTCTTTCTTTCTCTTTCTTTCTTTCTTTTTCTTTCTTTCTTTCTTTCCTTCCTTCCTTCCTTCCTTCCTTCCTTTCTTTCTTTCTTTTTTGGTCAGTCGTGGGTTTGAACTCTGGGCTAGGGCGCTGTCCCTGCGCTCTTCAGCTCAAGGCGAGCGCTCTACTGTTTGAGCCACAGCGTCACTTCTGGTTATTGGAGATAGGAGTCTCACGGACTTTCCTTGCTCGGGCTGGCTTTGAACCATGATCTTCTGATCTCAGCCTCCTGAGTAGCTAGGATTACAGGCGCGAGCCACCGGCACCTGGCTTAGCATCTCCTTTCTTAAGGGCCCAGATACCACTCCAGTTTTGTTTTGTTTTGTTTTCTCAAATACCAAGGTGGGATCATACTTGTGATAGAAAAGCAGAACATGAGAAATAGATGGGGAAAGGGAGAAGTCTTTATTCACTTGAGCTGAGTACAATCTCCCAGCCCTGCTTTGTCCCCCAGGTGTATATCCCAGGACACATATGGACATCTATTCTAGACTGAGGAAGGCAAATGTAATGGATCTGGACTATGATGATGCTATGTGAAGTTCTGGAAGATTCTGATCTTTGAAAACCATCCCTGATTTTGAACATCAGACTTTCAGAGACCCTGGGGAGTCAGCTTTCCAGTATACCTCTCCTATGAGGTATTTTTCTCCATGAGATGGTCCCTTCATCTATTGAGAGGATGGTGCAAGCCCTGAAGAAACAACTGCCCAGGAAAACCAACTTACATGCAGGGATGCCTGACACCCACTCCCAGTTAATTTCTGCCTTCAAATTCTGAGTAGCACATGTTTGGGCCATTCCTCCATTGTGTTTTATGCAAAAGTTCTGGTCCATCTTTTTCTTTTCTTTTGTGTTAGTATTGGGACTTATACTCTCTCACGTGGCTTTTTCACTCAAGGCTGGCATTCTACCACTTAAGCCACACCTTCACTTCCTTAATTCACTTTGTACTTACAGTGACTTTCACAATATAGATTAATTTTTATGCAGGTAAAGTCAAGTTTTCCCATCTTGACTTCTGATTTATCTTCCATCTGACTGTAGTTCCATGCTATAAAACATTTTCTTGGGCTGGGAAGTGGCTCAGTGGTAGAGCGCTTGCCTTGCATGCATGAGGCCATGGGTTCAATTCCTTAGCACCACATAAGCAGAAAAAGCTGGAAGTGGCACTGTAGGCTCAAGTGGTAGAGCACTAGCCTTGAGCTGAAGAGCTGAAGAGCTGAGGGACAGAGCCCAGGCCCAGAGTTTACATCCTGTAATTGGCAAAAAAAAAAAAAAAAACAAAAAAACTCTTGTTAGATGCCAGTGGCTCACACCTGTAATCCTAGCTACTCAGGAGTCTGAGATCTGAGGATCACCATTCAAAGCCAGCCCGGGCAGGAAAGTTCATGAGAATTTTTTTTTTTTTTGTCAGTTGTGGGGCATGGGTGCTGTCCTCAGCTCTCAGTTTAAGGCTAGTGCTCTACTACTTGAGCCACAGCGCCACTTCCAGTTTTCTAGTGGTTTATGGGAGATAAGAGTTTCGTGGACTTTCCTGCCTGGACTGGCTTTGAACCACAGTCCTCAGATCTCAGCCTCCTGAGTAGCTAGGATTACAGGTGTGAGCCACCAGAGCCTAGCTTCGTGAGACTCTTATCTCCATTAAACCACCAGAAAACCAGAAGTAGCACTGTGGCTCAAGTGGTAGAGCACTAGCTTTGAGCTGAAGAGCTGAGGGACAGCGCCCAGGCCCAGAGTTCAAGACCCGTGATCGGAAAAAATATTCTCTTATATTTACTTATAATTTAATAAGCTTTGGTCTATACTCATTGAAACAGTATGAAATGTATTTGGTGTGAGGTACAGATTTCCTTTGTTTTTGTTCCTATATATGTTTATTTTTGAAATAAAAATGTGAGGAAAGAGAAAACCTTATTTTTTTTCAAACCTGCATAAATTGTCTACTATTTATTAAATATCCCATTCTTTCTCCCTTTATTTTCATGTTTTCGTATCTCACCTAAGTTAAACATGACTGTTTTGGGACTCTTTAATTGTACAGATTCTTCTGCTGTACATCCTCTAGCATAAAACACTAAAACCACATTTGCTTCAGTGTTGCAAGAACTCAGATGGGGTCCCAACTCAAGAACCGGCACATTCTATTTCCTGTGTCTTGGATACTCTTCCTCTTTATAGGCTTGCTCTATCCACCCCATTCATTTCTCCCCCCCTCCCCCACCTTGGTTGCATTTTTCTGAACTCAATGCTTTCCCTTGGCTTCATGTGGCTTCTTCACTCACGGCTAAATCATTTAAGTTATGCCTCTAGTTCTGACTTTTCTGCTGGTTAATTGGAGATAAGAGTATCAAGAATTTGTCTTCCAGGGCTGTTTTCAAATCCTGATTCTCAGATTCCAGCCTCCTGAGTTGCTAGAATTAAAGTCATGTGCCACTGGCACCTGGCTTCCTTCAGTTGGATTTTTATGCATTGAGTTTCTTTTTCTGGCCCATGGAAATCTGATTTTCTTTTTTTTTTGTAGGAAAAATATAGCTTTCTATATTTTATATTTCGCCTGCTATCACTTGTAGTTGGAGCTGGTTAAGGGATACTTAAGAATGACTACTGGAGCACTATGTGACCAGAAGGGTAAACACCCATTTACATTCGTACTTAAACCCATTTACCTTAGTACTTACATTAAACCTAGCCCTGGCTTCTTACATGACACTCATTATTTCTTAATAATATCTTTAAGTGAACGTATACTTTAGGTTACTATCTGATAGAGTAGTCTGTGAGTTCATTTGTCTAAAAAATGTTCAGAAGTAAAATTAGAGACTGATAGCTTAGCTCTGAACTTAATAGTTTTAACACTTATTCTATGGCATTTCTGGCTTCTATTGTTACCTTTAGATAGTTTAGTTTGGTGTGCTTATCACTTAACAATTTTAACAATTGTTACATCTTTCAAATGAGTTGACTTCTTTGTCATTATGTAATTACTTTCTTGGTTAGGATATTCTTAGTATTTGCTCTCTCTTTCTGTCTTTCCCCCTTTCTCTCTTTCTCTCAGAGGGACTGCAGTAGGTCTATTGGTTTATCTCAGTGGTGAAAAGTACTACTGTTCTCTCCAGAGTGGCTACTGGAGACCATGAGGGCCCTGATACATGGCTGCTTTTGCTAGTCCTGTGCCCTTCTTCTTTGCTCCTCGTTGTCTCCAAGATGGCTCAGGTGTGATGATTTCTCCTACAATTGTTTCTGTCATTCTTCTTCTTTTTTTTTTTAAATCCTACTGTGATGCTTCAGGTTTTAAAAATAGAGTCTACAGTCTTTCCAAAGCTATTAGTATTCATGGATAACTGTCTTAAGCATACTCTCTGTTGCTATAACAACACCTGAGAGTGAGAAATATAAAGAGAAAGAGGTTTATTTTGGATATTTCTGAAGTCCAAGAGCATGGGGCTCACAATAAAAAAAAAAGAAAGAAAATAAAAGAGCATGGGGCTTGCATTTACTTGGCTTCTGGTTAGGGCCTTGTGTGTCTCCACAGGAAGAAGAGCAATGGAAGGACAGTGGGGTGCATGTGGGAGAGAGATCACACAATGCAGGACAAAGAAAAGAAACATCACACTTGCTTTATAACCATCCACTTTCCTGGTAAGCAATACAGCCTCAAGTGGATGAGAAGTTACTGCCCCGAGAAAGGCATTATTCCTTCTTAATGACATAACCATCTGCTAGCACCTACCATCGGTTTCCCCATCCCTCCAGCAGGGGTGCATTGAATATTGATTGAACTTGAGCATGGATTTTGAGGGGACAAACACTATAATTGCCTTAATTGACATATAAGTGCCTTAATTTTTTTTTCTGGGAGGGTGATTACTGATCTCTCTTCTTACTGTGAGTTTGTCTAAAAAACTCTAACATATAATTTAAGACTGATAGCTCTGAACTGAATAGTTTTTAGCATTTTTATTCCATGGTTTTCTGCCTTCTATTGTTACCCTTAGATATTCTAGCACTGTGTGCTTATAACTTAACAATGCTAACAACTCTCACATCCTCTTGATGAGTTGACTCCTTTGTCATTATATAATTACTTTCTTGGTTAGGAGGTTCTGTTTTTTAAGTTGGGTTTCTCATTGTGCCCTTTTCAAAAATCATTTAACTTATGTGTCTTCTAAGCCCTGGAAATAGCCATTGGCCCAGAACTATTATTATTATTATTATTTTGTCAGTCGTGGGGTTTGAACTCTGGGCCTGGGCTCTGTCCCTCAGCTCTTCAGCTCAAGGCTAGCACTCTACCACTTGAGCCACAGCACCACTTCCAGTGTACTGGTGGTTTATTGGAGATAAGAGTCTCACGGACTTTCCTGCCTAGGCTGGCTTTGAACCATGATCCTCAGACCTCAGCCTCCTTAATAGCTAGGCTTACAGGTTTGAGCCACCAGTGCCCGGCCCAGTAACAATTTTTATTGTAATAGTGATATTGGGGAAAACATTCTGTTTTCTCCAGAGCCCATATGAAGAGATCAACTTCTTCGTTATGTCTTTGCTATCTTTGTCTCCCTGGCATCCAGCACCAACCAACCACTGGGTATCTGTTTTCAGTAGATCCTTCCCCATCCTAAAATAACCACTTGTTTGATACAAGGGAAACCTTTTGAGTGTTCATCTTATATGCATAAGTTTAGTTTCAAGTTTCTACCTTTTACACACCCAGGGTTTCATCTTCTGGTTCCTCATGGTGACTTTCAAGGATAAGGAACATCTGGCCTGGGCCATAAAAGATCCAAGAAATCATTTGGTCCATGACAGGACAGACACATATTTTTCTAATTGTCTACCACAGCCATTGGCCTGTACTGATTTTTGTATGGCTTGTGAATGATGTTATGATTATCCAAATGGCAGAATCAAAGATTTTCCATGCAACACTAAACCCTAAAGTGATCTAACATAGTCTCCCTCCCCTCATGCCTCCCAGGGGAATGGCAATACTAATTTGAATATGTGACTTCTGTTGTTACTTCCTTTTTTTTCAATCTATATATATAGGAGATTTCCTTTCATTCTTATGTGTTCAGCAATGCACTTAAAATTAAATAATGTTTATCGGGCTGGGAAGGTGGCTCAGTGGTAGACCACTTGCCTTGCATGCATGAGGCCCTGGGTTTGATTCCTCAGCACCACATAAGCAAAAAGAAAAAAACTGGAAGTGGTGCTGTGGCTCAAGTGGTAGAGTGCTAGCCTTGAGCTGAAGAGCTGAGGGACAGTGCCCAGGCCCAGAGTTCAGGCCCCACGACCAGACCCCCCCAAAAAATAATGTTTATCAGTTATGATCATTGAACATGGGAAGACTTTCAAGATTTTTGTCTACTATAACTTGTCAGAAACAGGATTTTTCACTTCTTGTTTTTCTAGTGGGAGTGCTGCTTGATTTTGATTTTAGAATACCCACCCGCACTGTGTGTGTGTGTGTGTGTGTGTGTGTGTGTGTGTGTGTGTGTGTGTGTGTATGTGTCTGTCTGTATTGGGGCTTGAACTCAGGGCCTTACACTCTGGCTTAGCTTTTTCATTCAAGGAGGATGCTCTACTATTTGAATCACACCTCCCCTTCCATCTTCTTGCTTAATTGGAGATAAGAATGTCTTGAGTGTATCTCCTCAGTCTGCCTTCAAACCTTGATCCTCAGATATTTTAAGTGTGAGCCAAGCTCTAGGTTTGAATTTTCCAATCTCTTAATGAGATTTTGAAAGTAAGATTTAAATCATTAGTGTTTAGCTTGCCATCTTGGGTCATCAAGTACTTATAGGAGAAAACAGGTTTTTATTTAATATGGTAAAAAAAAATTTCCTGGCCATCCTGAAGGTAAATTCCAGATGTTCAGGGATTTATCCCTTGGCTGTCTGCCTCTGTAGCTTTGCATCTGCCTTTCTAAAGTGCTTGAAAGTCTCTGAGCACTCCAGAGTAGTCGCTATTCTTTCTCCTTATACTCTTTTCCAGGACTGGAAGCTCTACCTCCTCACAAGTCTAATTTGTTTTATTAAGACCTAATCATCTCTCAATAATTATTTCTACTGACGGCCTTTACTTCTCTTTTCTTAATCTCCACTGTGTCTATTTGGTACAGAGTACTGCCACAGAAGGTACCACACAAGTGGGTTTGCTTTTTTACATGTTTCTTTTACTGCTAAGCTTTAATTCACATATGGGAACATATGTGTCTTAGCAAAGTGCCCAGAAAGTAGAGGGTACTGAATGAAATTTTTATTAAATAAATGAATGCATGAATCCATACATACATGCATAAATGTATACTCTGCTTTAGAATCATGCCTTTGTGCGTTGGGAACAAGTTGTTAACAGGGTATATAAGAAGAGTAAGCAAACACTTTGGGGAAATCAAAGTCAAGAATCAGAATGATCATCTAGATCTTGGTGCTCAGCCTTTCTTCAGCCACAACACAATTTATAGTCACTTACCTGCCAGAAAAATGCCCACAGAAAATGCTGTGAGTGACTCTAGAAAGTTTAATATAGTCATTGACCCATAGCCAACAGGCCAAAAGTTCCCCTTTGTCTCTAGCTTTTCTTCTGGAAAACCCACATATGTAGAATTAAAGCGTCATTTACATTGTTCATGACTCCTAAGAGCTCATCCTCACGTGCTTTCCCCAGGGACTACAACAGGAGACATTTTCATTTACATAGAGAGGAACCCATCACACAGACTGCTTTGGCATTTACTAAGAGTCTCACCAAGTCTTCCTCCCTCTACCTCTGATACCAAGACTGGGATTTCCTCCACTTCCTCCCACAGGTAGAGCAGTGCCTTTTTGAGTAGGGCATTATCAGAACTCCTGCAGCTACTGAAGAGACTGGTGTTCTTCATGAAAAAGAAAACCTGAAAACTCTGTAAAACTCTAGTCTGTAGACAAGTTGCTACCTGAAACATCAACTCATTCATGCCATTCTTTGATATCCTAGAGCAAATATGTGGATATAAATGTTTTAGAAACTGGATCTCTAGGGGCTCAGGAGTATGGCTCAAGTGTTAGCCTAAGCAAGCATGAGGTTCTGAGCTTAAACCCAGTACTACCAAGAAACTGGATTTCTAGGATATTTTCTTTGTATCTTCCAGGGAGGTAATGAATGATAGTTTCCAGGCACTCTTACTCAGTCTGAATTCCTTGTCATATTTTTGGTCTATGGGAGTCTCAGTGGATTTCTATAAATTAATGGATTGCATTGTAGAGGATCTTGATGGCAGGAAAGGATAAGTTCACATAAAGGACATCTGGATAGTGTCTACCTACATAATACCTGGATTTCCAACATTTAATTCTGCACCAGAATTTCCATAGCAAAATTTCCATAGCAACTCTAAAAGTATGTATTTATAAACTTAGGCCAGCCTCATTCAACAAAGACACCTCTTATTAGCCAAGGTAATTATAGTAACTTAAAATTACTATGGCCACAGATACCATAACTATGGTACCATGATTGCAGCTATTTCTGCTGCTATTTCTACAGCATTCACTTTGGTGAGTCATAGTTTTTTTTGTTTTTGCCAGGCCTGGGGCTTGAACTCAGGGCACTGTCCCTAAGCTTCTTTTGCTTAAGGCTAGCACTCTATCACTTGCGTCACAGTGCCACTTCTGGCTTCTGTTTATGTGGTACTGAGGAATCGAACTCAGGGCTTCATGCATGCTATGCAAGCATTCTACCACTGAGCCATGTTCCCAGCCCAGTGAGTTATATTCCTTTTTTTTAAATTTTTTATTGTAAAGATACTATACAGAGGGTTACAGTTACATGAGCAAGGTAATGAGTACACTTCCTATTGATCATGGTTACCCCTTCCATTGTTTTCTCCCTACCATCCCTTCCCTCCCTACCTTCCCCGAGGTTCTTGAGTTCTATTCTTAATATTGTACAATTTACTTCTATCTTCGTGGCTCTGTAACTCTGAGTTCAATGAAAAATATCTAGAGACCTCTGAAGTTAATCAGTTCCATTTTCCCATTTAACTGTATAACTAACTTCTTCAAATAGGGAATGTAATTTGTTTTGTTTTTCTGATTTGTATTTCTTGAAGAGTCAATTTGTAAGTCAGGTACCAGTGGCTCATGCCTGTAATCCTGGCTACTTGGGAGGCTGAGAACAGGAGGCTCATGATACTCCCACTTGAATCCAAGGCATTACATGTGGTTCACAGAGAAGACAGATCCATTGCATGTGGCAGATTGAGTTTTGATAAGTCTACCTGAGGACTCTCCAAGGTACGGATGGATCCAAGGGATTTCTACAAGTTTATCTAACACAGCTTCCCTCTCTCTCCATCCTTTGTTGGCTAAATATGTCTGCACAAAGACTATTGTTACTTTTCAAATCTATATACACACAATCTCATTTCTGTCACTGTAATCTTAACCATTAAATTCTTCTACATTCCCCTCTACCAGGAAATTACTAAGCCAATTTAGGTATCCTTCCAAATTATGTGCTCCCACGTGTAAATGTCTATCCTGTAAAATACAGAACACCAGCTACACATGAAATTTACCTTTCACCGCATGACCTTTTTACCTCACAACAGCAGCATTGGTCTCTAATACTATTCTCTTCTCTACCTGCAACAGTTACTTTAAAACCTGTCATGAATTCAACCTTATTGCATTTGGTAATGCCATAGGGAATCTTAATTCTCAACTGGAGATCCACATTTCCACTGCTGGCATGTTGAAGTCAGAGAAGGAATACCAACAGTTGGGAAAATACATGCCTACCATCAATATGCATCACCATCTTTTGCATGCTCTTCTCTCTTCTCCCTTGCTCAATTCCCTTTCTATTCACCAGATTCTTACCCTTTCTGGATAGTGGATGGTAAGGTTGAAAGGGATTATAGGTTGCCAACAAGCCCATCTGGTAGGGAGGACTGAATAAGATTGGTGACATCTCTAACCCCTAGGAGACAACAACCCCTGATCTCTCCCACATGCTTATCACCCATCTGCCCATGCAGAAAATTCAAGTGGAATAGTTGGTACACAGGAGAGACTGTACCATGCAGGCCTTATTTCCTATAAATCTTTCGAAAACACATACATTCCATATACTTAAGAATACTAGAAATCACCAAGCACACAGAGAAAAATAAAGCCACCTTTAATTCCATGTTTTTCAGTTATAGTTACCCCAATGCTTTGGTGTTTTCTGCTCCAACACCTTTCCGATACTGCCTGGCAAGGCAGGCAGTGTGGTACAGATAAAGTGCATTCTATGGCTCCTTTGCTCTTAACAGTATGTCCTAAGTATCTTATTTTGCTATGAAAGCATCTTCTACAGAATCATTTTAATAGTTGCTTCTCATTCCACAAAGTTTTGATATACCATTTATTTTTTAAATCTTCCCTTTTTGGGTATTTTCAGTGTTTCCTTTTTGTATTATTATAAGCAAGAGGATGAGCAGGATCATAGGGAAGCATCTGTATTTCCCCAAAACAAAACTACAGCCTTAGGAGCAGTGAAATGTGAAGTGTCCCCAACCATATGCATCAAGTCTACAAATGTTTCATGATCAGTCAGCCTCTACCTACAACATTGTCATTTACAGTTTCACGCTGCATATGATCTAAAAAGGCAACTTGAATCTACCTGGACATGGATCCTGAGCAGAGGACAATACAGTTGACTTCCCCTTAGGGAAAGCTTTCTGAGAACCGCATGGATGCCTGAAACTGCCAATAGTCCCAAACTCCATATGTACTATGTGTTTCCTCCCCTACACACCTATGATGAAGTTTAATAGATAAATTAGGCACAATAATTGTCTACGGCCATACCACCCTGAACGCGCCCGATCTCGTCTGATAAATTAGGCACAATAAGTAATTTCCAATGGTATAACAATTCTAACAATATATTATAATAAAAACAGTTTAAAACAAATTTTTTCTCTAGAATCTTCCACTTAATATTTTTTTGTACTGTGGTTGTCTCTGGATTACTGAAATTGTGAAAAGCAAAATTGTGAGTGAAGGGGCGCCTGTATTCAACTTTCGTGGGGACTACATTTACTCAGAATGAGAATGAGAATTAATCCTGATCATGGATCTTGACCTGATGCATGTTTTGAATTGCAGGGAGGAGCTATTTCAGGACTATGGGGCAAAAGGGACTTAAATGTTTTAAATGATTTAGAGCAAAACCACATTCTAGGTAATCAGAAACTGGTTAAAGAAAAGAGTCTGTTTTTCCAACAGTGGCCTTCATTTTTTAACACACAGAAGGAATATATCGTACTAATATATCAGTGTTTCTAAGCCATACCGTGGACTTAGACTGCCTAGGGTTGAATCCCAGCTGTGTTACTACTAGAAAATGATCAATGACCAACTTGCTCCGGCTACAATCCTGAACGTCTGCATTCTTCCATAATGCATGTGTGGATTCTTTTTTTTGTATATATTTTTTATTGTAAAAATACTGTAACAGAGGGGTTACAGGTACATGAGTAAGGTAATGAGCACATTTCTTATCAAGTTTTGTTACCTTCTCCTTTGTTTTTCCCCTACAACCCCTTCTCTCCCACCTGCTCAACTCCTCCTTCCTCCCTCCCCAAAGTTATAAAGTTCATTTTCAACATAGTGTCTTGTATATCTCATTGTTACAATGTATCAACCTATATCTTTATATGTTATTTCCCTTCCCCTCTCCAAATTAGAAAAACATATATACAAGATGCAGGGCACCGGAATGAAATACAGTAGAAACAGGGGTTATACCATGGGAGAAGAACATACAAAAGAAACAAAAAAAATCATATAGTACATTATAAATACATTAAAAACGGGACTGGGAAGGTGGCTCAGTGGTAGAGTGCCTGCCTTGTATGCACGAGGCCCTGAGTTCTATTCCTCAGCACCACATAAGCAGAAAAAGCCCAAAGTGGTGCTATGGCTCAAGTGGTAGAGTGCTAGCCTTGAGCTGAAAAGCTGAGGGAGAGCACCCAGGCCCAGAGTTCAGGACCCATGACCAAAAATAAAATAAAATAAAATAAAATAAAAACAACAGCAAGAAAGATAAAACCACTTGGGTCTCTATCTTTGGGTTCATTTCACTTAGCATCATCTTATATGGTCATATGTACATAGCTTTTGAGCTTTTCTGCTTGTCCCAGACATATACTAGTTATTGTAAATAAGGGAAACCATGGGACCTATGTTTCTTTGGGCCTGGCTTACTTCACTTAATATAATTTTTTCCAAGTCTTTGCATTTCCTAACAAATGGGGCGGTGTCATCCCCAGGGCAATAGTAGGGGTAGGTCCTGGAGGTGGTGATTAGATGGTGAGGGTGTAACAATTATGAATGGGATTTGTGCTCATATAAAAAGGCCTGAGGCAGCTGACTCATCTCTACCACCATGTAAGAACACCGAGAAGGCATCATCTCTGAGGAACAAGTCTCACCAGACACCCGTTCAACTTGTCCTTGATATTAGATTTCTCAGCTTTCTGGCCTGTGAACCATACTCTGTTGTTTATAAATTATTCAGTCTAATACATATTGCTATAGGAGCCCAAATTGGCTAAGACACTTACCTTTGCCGCTCAGTTTCCACATTTGTGGAAAGAAGACAGAGTTAAGGTCAAAAGCTTGCTGAGAGTAGAAGAAACCACGAGCACAAGGCATCCAGAGCTGTGTTCAACACGGACAGAGCTGTGTACAAGTGTTAACCATCATCACTAGTGCCAAGATGGGAACTTTTTCTGACACTGAGAGGATTGTTTTTGATGCTCTTATACCTACAAGACTAAAGCTCTTTCACTCCCCCCATTTTTTGCTAATCATATAAAGTCTATCTTGAAAGATACCTTTATTCAGATCCCAGATGGTAGCTGGACCAAGTCCTCATGTGGCTGTGCTCGCTGCTGGTCATCTTTGGTGAATCCAATCATCTGAGTTAGAACAGAAATGGTAGCAAAGGGGATCTCCAAGTCCTATAAGGGCTGAGGCTTTATCAGAGCCTAGAGAACAGCAAGACTACTTAGGTCTCTGCCTCTAGCTTCAGCTTTAGAGTCAGATAGATGCAAAGCTGGACCAAGGAATGTGAAATCACAGCATACCCTAATCTTTATGGTCAAGGCAGGTCACCACCATGACCAGTGGTTGATCATAAAATTGTGTTCTAGTATGTTAGATGTTATATATGGTAGTCTCATAAGTAGAATGTTTAATATTTTTGTGTAATATTGAATACCTTCATCTTGATGAAAACCAAGTATCTACAAGATTTGGGTTCAGAATAGGCATTGAGATCTTTTGCTTGTGTTACTCTGTTTAACTATGGGCAAGAGAAAGCCAATGGCTACTCCAAGAAATAAGATTTCCTTTCTAATTTAACAGGCACTAAATAAATAGTTATTATTGGAAGAAAGGTGTTCTAATACAAAATATGGCCAGAAGAAGGGTTAATTTACAGTGGGTTCAGCTCTCATACGTTTTCTGATGAACACGTTGGGACTTGTGGCTACACTGCTGTGTCCCAATCTGTCTATCACTTGAAAGAGAGAGAGAATCTTGGCCTGGCGGGGGGGGGGGGAGAGGAGGAAAATGAAATAAAGGAGAGAATCACTAAATTTCCAGCATCCATAGGACTTATTGCTAGCAATCCCATTGGTCAAAATTTTACAAGGGATAGTTGTGTGTTTTAGGATAATTTAAATGTCAGGTTATAAAGGGGTAAGAGAATAGAAAAGGATAGGAAGACAACAAATAGTTTCTGAGCAACTTACCATAAATGAAGACAGATATTCTGGGCTAACCTCTGGCTTTTGCTCCCCTCACAGCTCCAGTCAGTGAACAAGCAGGCAAGTCTCCACCCTCTTCATGTTTTCTGTCTCTGGCATGTACATTGCTTGTCCCCATAGGGTCCAGCAGAGAGACTGTGGCAATGTCCACACACTGTCTTGGGCTGCCCTGCTCTGCAGTGGGTCACGCAGCTACTCCTCCAGCACTGCCTGCCTTCTTGGGTGATCACTGTCGCCATGTCTTCTCAGTTAAGAGCCCAAGTACAGGGAGGGAAGTAGCATCTAAAAAGAGGACCTGCAGACTGGATAGAAGATGGACTGCAGAGAAGTGCCTTTTTGCCCACAGGAGTTTAACTCCTGAACACTTACTGGCTGAATGCCAAGTGTCTTGATAGCTCTAAACACATCCCAGAGAGAAAGGCTCAGGTCTAACTACTTCTATATGGTCAGACTCAGCCCATGCCATCATTGCCTCTCTAGCTCTAGGTCAAGAGCCAGCAAACTTCTCTAGTCAAAAGCCAGAGAATGACTAGCTCTGATTTTTCTGATCTCTGATGTTGCTGCTCAGCTGTGTCCTGCTAACAGGAAAGCCATTATTGATCATATATAAATGAAGGGATTCTCCTGTGCTCCAATGACACTTTGTTTAGCAAAACTGGACATTGACCAGCTCCAGAGCTCACAGGGGTTTTCCAACCTATGTTCAGATTCATTATTCAGTTCTAAATTTTAAAATCCATGTGTTAGTTTCCTCAAACCAATTTCATTTTTGTCTTAAAATATTAAAGTTGTGCTTGGCAAAGGAATTAGGTAAGAAAAAAATTTTATTCTATGTACAGAATCTCCACCTACGGTGGGTCTAAATCTAAAAAAAGACCAATGCTAACCACTGAGCAGAACTGAAAGAGGTTCAAACTGTTCTGGGATAAGTAGATATGTTTCACTCTGGCACAGAGACACCCAGGGATACCCTGGAGTCCTGGCTTGGGGCAGGATTATGAGCAATGTTTTTCTTACCTAATTCCTTTGACAAGCACAACTTTAATTTTTTAAGACAAAAATGAAATTGGTTTGAGGAGACTAACACATGGGTTTAAAAAAGTTGGAACTAAATAATGACTCTGAACATAGGTTGGCAAACCCTTGTGAGCTATGGAGCTGGTCAATGTTTTGCTACATAAAGTGTCACTGGAGCACATATGTTCTGTTCATTCGTCCCGCATAAAGTTCCTGAGCCTTACCTCGTGCCACCTACAATTCCAGTTCCCATCTTGGTGGGAATTAGATGGTTTCTGACCACAAGTGGGAATCAGGCATGGATTCAGTTGTTGGTGTGATACAAAGGCAAGCTCACCAGAGCGAGTGACCCACAAACATTAAAGAATGGTGCAACAGCCACTTACCCTTTCTTCTCTTTCTCTATTCTCCAAAAGCTGGGATGTTCTTTATAATCTTGAGACCCTCGTCACTCCCTGACACAAACAACAAAAGGAATTTTAAAAAAGAACAATATATGAAAAGAACAAGAGACCAGATTCAAACTATGTCTAAGTTATGTACCTGCTCTGTGGGCTGGGCAGTCCTTTGGCCTCTGGACTCCAATCATGACTCCTGTGAAGTCTCTGACCTATGGAGAATTACTGCCCCCTGCAAGATATGCAAATATCATTTAGTACAGCCTCCGAAAATGTCATTTTCTCTCCACTTCTGTCTTCAAAGCAGTCCTTTCCTCTCAGTTCCTCTTTCTAGCTCTGCTCGCACCCTGTATTCACTACCTGGGACCTTCCCCGGTCATGCAAGCCCCCAAGAAATAGTGTCAGCTTTTTGTTCTTACTGCTGCTCTAGTAAAACTTCCCCCTCAAGTTCTTGAAATTTTGTTTTCTTCTGCTCTATCTATCTTGCACCTAGTCAAGTCTTGATCCTATTTGTTTGCCCAACCAAGGATTTCTCTGTTCACAACTCAAAACCTTTTCCTTGTCTCCTCCTACCTGCTCCACCAATGTGGTTCTTCCCAGTATTGTTTAGTTGTCAACAGGATTATCCAATGAGATCCACAGTAGTACATCCATTCTTGCCCTGACTGTCTCTCCTCTCCTCCTCCCAGCAATCCTAGCTGCTAGGGGGTTTGGAACTCCCTGGGAAGAAACAAACCTGCTGGCTTCACCTTTGCCCCTCCATGGCTTCTGACTCCTTTCACTCTACTAGTGAGTGTTCGCTAACCAGAACTCTGGACACCACAATGACAAGTAGAGGTAGTGCCCACAACCACATCCACCAAGGCCACAGGCAACCAGTTTGTAGACATTAGAATAGTTATAGCAATCTAGGAAGCAAGTAGAAACAAATTGGAATTCAAACCCTATTCAGTTTCTCATTATTCCAGCTGTGAGCTAATGTAAGTCCATCCCTGAGATGCCACTCTTTGAAGTTTTGATTTTAATTCATCTTCATCCCTTCAGGCTCTCCACATCTACTCATCTCCTAAACTTGAAACCCATTACTTCGTTGCTTTGGGAATACAACCATGATGGCAGCTTTCTTTTCCTCAGTCATCATTACCTTCAGCAACAAAGACATTCATAGCTTCAAGGCTGTGGAGGTTCATAGTTCACCGGGTATCTGTTTATGCAACCACAGTTCTTTGCTTTGTACCTCATAGAGTCCTTAACACAGCTCCACATGAGGCAAATATCCTTCATTGTGCCATTTCTCAGAGCTTTGTCTGACACCAATCAGCTAAGAAGTAGCAGATTGTATTTAAAACAGTGTGGCCTGGTTCTTAACCCCTAGGTTAAGCATTCTGGGAACTAAAGTCAACTTGTGACAATGAATTATCTTCATTGTTACATAGGGCGTCCAAGTTCCGTGCCCTGCTCCCAGGCAGGTCTGGCTCTGCTGCTGCCAGCTCTGGTGTGCGGTTACAGAATTCAGCACCACGCAGCCCCCTCCACACACATTTTTCTTGTGCTCAGGAGTTTGAGATTGTGAGGCAACTGACCCAAAAGCTCACTTACCAAGAGCCCTGTGCCTGTGACACTGTCCATTATGAGTCTCTTTTGGTAGTAGCTCTGACCCTGATTCAGAACTTTTCCTTCTTATTCTCCACAGGTCCTCTCAGGAGTGTTTCCAGTTTCTGAATGAAATGTGTACTTGTGGTTTAAGGGAAATGTTGTATAGCCAGGCACAGTGGTACACACCTACAATCACAGCATTTGGGAAACTAACACATGAATCATGATCATGAGTTGGAGGCCCGCCTGGCTTACATAGTTATGCCTCATCCACTTCTCCCTAAGTGATTAATTACCTTAATATGAACATTTCAGATCATATATGTATTGAAGTATCACAAGTACTCCATACATGTGTACAATTAATCCAGTCTTTCTGTCTCTATGACTTTTTTTGGGGGGGGTTGGGTATGGGCTTGAACTCTGGGCCTGGGCACTACCCCTCAGCTCTTCAGTTCAAGGCTAGCACTCTACCACTTGAGCCACAATGCCACTTCCTATTTCTGAATGCTTTATTAGAGATAAGAGTCTCATGGCCTTTCCTGCCAAGGATGACTTTGAACTGCAGTCCTCAGAACTCAGCCTCCTGAGTAGTTAGGATTATAGGCCAGCCCCACCATGCCTGGCTATATGACTTCATTTTTAAAAAGCAGGTTATTCTCTAGCATCCAACAGGAATTCTGGTTCTTCCGGAACAGCTAGTAACAAGCTGTTGACTTTTCTAAAAACAAAAATCTCACTTATGAAGCTCTGGAATGATGCAATTGCCTTTAGAAGTCCTTATTTGCTGTGTTATTTTGGTCTCAGTTCTCCAGTGGTATTTTACAAACCATCACATTTCTTATGATTGGCTCTGCTTCCTTCGCTGCACCCCCAGATCTTGTCAGTCATGATACCATTGAGATCTTTATCTACGGGTCAAAACCGTCTACTGTATTCTAAATATAATGGTGATATCACAAGCAGAACAGAGTCCACTACCCTAAATAAATGCAGTTACAAAACAGAAAAGAGAGAACCGATGTTTAATCTAGGAAGAAGAGCCCTGGGATTATATCTCACTTTTTTTCACTGTACTCATCTCTTAGGAGCTGAATTTTAGATTAAGAATAATCCTTACCTTAGTCTTCATTATACATTGAATGGATGGGGAAATGTTTCAGGAAATAACCAAATGGAAACTCTTTTGGGGAGGTAGCAATGCTGGGGTATGAACTCAGGGCTTGATGCTTGCTAGGCAGGCACTCTATCACTTAAGCCATACCCTCAGCTCTTTTAGTTTTCATTATTTTTGTCCTGGGGCTGACCTTGGACCTGCTCGTCTGCCTAAGTAGGATACAAACCATCACATTTGGAGTGTGTGTGTGTGTGTGTGTGTTGTTGTTGTTGTTGTTTTTGTTTTGAGATGAGGCCTTGCCAACTTTTTGCCTAAACTTGCCTCAAACTTCATTCCTCTAAATCTCAATCAGAGTGGCTGAAATTACAGATGAGAGCCTTCAGATGGAAACTTCTGAGAATTAAAGATACCAGATGTTATTCCAGGTGCTGCCTTACTTCGGAGGACTCTGGGCCACTTGATGGTCCATCTGATGAGACAAGGAAAGGATAGAACCTGACTTTACAAGAACAGTGACGGTAAGGCTAAAGGGAGACACGGGACAGGCGGATGGGAAAGTACAGAGCCACAGTGGACAATGACCCTCTTACATCAACGTGAAAGAGAGCTCAGGAAAGAGCTTTGTCAGAATCTTCTTCATCTAGGGAAAAGCTATGTTTACTCTGATATTTCCTGAAAGGGATGAAATATTTGTATCCTCCCAACTCTCACCAAATTTCTAGGTGGGAACTCATTTCTAGAATGCTTTGGTGAGGCAGGGATTTGGGGAGGCAATTAGATTGCCAAATTGGGGTCCTCATGAGTAGCTTAGATGCCTTTATGAGACCAAAGAGCTAGCTAGCTAGCTGTTCTAGTATTCTATACCCCTTCAGGAAAAATGGGATGCAATTCTGTACAATTAAGATGTAGAAGCTGGCCTAACACCTCACTTCCTGAGGAAAAGGTTAGATATTTGAGTTTCCTGCAGAAATAATAAACCCAATTTTCCTGTCTTTTGCAGATGCACTAACCCTCCCAATGCCATATTCTGTTCTTTAAGGAGACAACAAATTTCTGACATGCCAGGAGGAATGGGACTAGAAAAGAAAAATGATGACTTACTAACAAGAATGAAATAGAGTTACTTTCTGCCAAAGCAGTCTCAACCTTCTCTATCCAAATGCATTTTGAGTGAGAGTGGTGAGTATTACTATACTACAACTTTTAGAGGTATCCTGTAAAGAAAAAATCTTCAAGAATGATTTAAAAAACTGAAGTCCAACATGAGATCTTCAATCCTGTGGGAGCTGGGCTAGCAGATGGTGGTAGCAGAGAGCACTGGATACCTGGTAAGAGGAAATTGCCCAGGGACCAGTGCCTATAGCACTGTGGTTTGATGATGCAAGGAAGATGTGCTGAATGACACCTGTCTGGGACCGAATGTCTTGCTTGCTGAAATTGCTTCTCATCTAGTGCTTTAGAAGGAAACTTGAACCTCACAGTTCTGGGCACTGTTGTGATCTTTCTCTCTATAGTTATTTTCATGTCCTGTGTTGATAGCCAGCTCTCTGCAACCCACTGAAGGAGATCCAATGGACTTTATCTGTAAGAATCAATTCCCGGGGCTGGGAAGGTGGCTCAGTGGTAGAGCGCTTGTCTTGCATGCATGAGGCCCTGGGTTCGATTCCTCAGCACCACATAAGCAAAAGGAAAAAAAAGCCAGAAGGGGCGCTGTGGCTCAAGTGGTAGAGCGCTAGCCTTGAGCTGAAGAGCTGAGGGACAGCGCCCAGGCCCAGAGTTCAGGCCCCACAACCGGACCCCCC